AGTTGTAGAGATAGGTGGATAATGTGTTTTTCAGTCGAGTCGAGTTGAGTATGGGATGGAAATACTCGCGTATCAAGTTGAATCAAGTAGCGTCTAGTTTATTATTGGTTTCAATAGTCAAGTTTGTAGAATTTGCTTTCATTACACCATACATTTTTATGACGCTAAAATTAGTTTTAACCATGTCGTAGAGTTGACATTTGATATAGAGCCCACAATCATTTTCATTCAAAATGGAGGAAATAGATAAATTGTGTTACACAAAAAGTCATATAGTGGTACATTAAACAACAGTGGTCATATAGAGGTTAATTAAACGAGACATCAATGATTGATCAGTAGAATAAACTGTTAACATGTTGAGTGTGGCATACATTCATACAGACGCTCGCCAATGGCGGCGAGGCCCAGGCGAAGCCTCGGTGTGCCACCGAAACAGCAAACGCAATTGACATTCAAATATTTAAATCTGACGAAAAACAAAAGAATAGCAGTGATTGTGGCGTGTTACCCAAGAGTGGACGTAGTTCACTGAAACAGCCAAAGGTAGCAGCACTGCCTGGATACAGATCCAGTGTCATTGTAATTTGGCTTGAAGAGAGAAAATCCCCAAAACTGGGACAAAAGCATTGCCAGACGGGATTTTATGGGAAATTTTAGTACTAACCTACAACAAAATAAAGCTCACATTCTAAGCTACAGGCTGGCAACGATTATGACGTTCCTCGGAAATTGCTGAGCTCATACTGAACTAATGTAGTGGGATTGGCGTGATTACATCTATAGATGTAGGCCGATAGGAGCAATAGATACCACTCAACGTGTTAAAAACCAGTAAAGTTTTATAACACAAGTTTAAAAACCCATAAACAAGAAAAGTATTTGAATTTTACTTATAAACTGAAGAAAAAAGTTTATTTACAATTTGGCTTATAATAGGAGAGGAAAATTAGCCCAGGTTGATCCTAAATTCCTGAATGAGCATCCTTTTTAGCAGTCTCCACTTCATTTTTATTAACTCTAACAAAGCTCCTTCTAAAGATCAAGCAAACAAAATAAGACAAATAATAAAATTATTTTCTTTTCAGTCTCAAAGTTAACATCAACATATTAATCAGTTTATTTTAGGCTAAGATAAATTTTCAGAGTAGACTAAGCTTTGGAAGTTCTTCATAAGAATCAAATGGTCCACACCTAAGCTTAATAATAGTAATAATTTAGAACGGCTAATAATATACATCTTGAGGGACATCTCATGAGGTTCAGTTATAAAAATAGCAAAGTAACAACCATAATTTGGTTTTGTAGGATTTCAGTAAACAACATATTAAACAAAAATAAGAATCTACAGCAAGAATATTCAAATTTTGACGAATCTGCAAGATGTATTAATAAGTATCCATGGACCTGAAGATAGGGCTTTAAAGCTCTAAAATGTGCATCGTCCTTTAGTGACTGGATTCAGAACGGTTTGACTGTATAAGGTACGTAACCTAGATAATACTTTGAATAACAGTTCAGGAGGCAAAATAATAAATATAAATAAAAAAAGAATATTCAAACATAAAAACAATAGATAAGGTACGAAAATTAAATGTCAGATGATTTGAGAATGAGTACAGCATATTATGATGGATTTCAAAATGTTATATGCGTATGGTTGTGTCAATAGAAAGATAAAATAACAATAAAACTATATTAAAAGGTATAAATATGATTTCAGATTGGTTAAAAATGCAAATACCCAACCATTAATAAGTTAAGTACTGTGCAGTAAATTGTTCCCACTGGCAGATCTGATGTTTCAGTAGTAAAAATTCCAAATTAAGATACAAAAATTTATTAGCCATCGTCAAACTATTCATGATAACACGTTGAATGGGATTGGGATTAAGAAAGTCATGACAACAATATGATGTACCTTTTATGTGCCCCTAACCAACTACTCAGCTTGATTTTCAGTGAATTAAGAGTAGCCTACTCCAAAAACTCTTGAGTAATTTATTGACACACACTCCCCACCAATCAAAGTTAGGAGCCAATTTAAAGGTTTACAAACTCCTCATGTAACAAAGACTTATTTTATCGTAATGTCTGTGATAAAGCATTTTATATGCATGTTTAAATTGAGAGGTACTGTATTGTAACTGTGATATATCCTTATTAAGTATATAATGTTTTTAATGTTTTACTATATCTTGCAAGGTTTATTGTAATTTATAATTGATGACCAATTAAGTGAAATGAAATCAAAAACGTTTATTTATCCCAAGAATTATAAACTAAAACAGAGAGTAGCTATACAACATTAGAGTACAAAATTTTTAAGATAAAATTTACCTAACTTATGGGATAGGCCTACATGGGCAGGTGCCTGTGCGTAGGCCTGGCTGTTATCAGTCTAAACAAATTGAGGGCACACACTAAAATTGGGAAGATTTTTAAGCCTTGTTAATTTAAACTAGATCGTTTAGCGAATGAGAGAATGTCGGCAATAACAACCAAAGCCAGTGCAATCTAAGACAGAAGACATTCTGAGGGCGAGGGGGTCGAAGGGTCAAGGATTGTTTAGTCAGGGTCAAGTATGGTTAGGTCTGATCAAAGTTTCGGCCTCTTCATAGGTAATTGTGTGCAGTAAAACAAGCATCTGTTTTTTTGAATTTCTGTATTGAGGATTGAGGGTAAACTAAAAATGTACTGAATATTATATTTTTGAATTAGATTTCGATATAGAATCTGAGCAACATAAAAACAGTTGGTAGTTAGAACTGACTTATGTAGCTGAGGGACAGATATTCCAACATTGTGTGAATATCTTGTGTAGTGTTGATGTGTGACTGTTGTAAGGATCGTGTTTGAGTTTTTGAATGTGTGAGTAAGAAGAAACTTAATGAAAATATGTCTGACTGGTAATACTCCCGTCTAACGGAATAGCGCATCAGTGGAGTACCTTTTATTTTTTCTAAAAGCTACTTTCAAAATTGATCTTTGGATCACATTCAAGGGTTCCAAGTACTTGATTAATTCTAATAAATAGTCCATTTTCAAATACCTTCTCACACTTCACTACTGATACTATTTAATTAATTAAATAAAATTATTTACAAACCATAATTAGGTATGCATTTTTTTCACAGAACTCTAAGACAGACTATAATTTACACAGAATACTTTTTAAAATCCAAAGTATGTGTTTTAATTATGTGTCAACAAAGTTTCAAGCTTTAAAAATGTCGCTTTCCCGACAATACATGTAAACAAATACAACTAATACTCATGGGACTATTTGGTGGATGTAAAAAACTGTTTAGAATTTGCAATATTTAAACTTTAAACATATGAAAATGAGTTTGAACAATATTTTTGAAAAATAAATTTCTGAGAATGTAACAATTGGTAAATGTTAAAGTAAGTTGTATTTTAGTTTAAGTATCATACATTTAGTTTCAGTTATTAGGATATGACAATGACGTCTGAAGTATTTAATTTATTTTGTATTTTACACTGATTCAATAATGTAAAATTCCCAATATTTTCCAAATTTTAGGACTAATAACTGACGCAAATAAATTTTTTCCATCACTCCTTACCAAAAGAAACTATTTTCGATAACAGCTAATATGAATAGTTATTTGTGCAACTAGTGAGCAAAGCTGAGCAAAGGAGCAAAGGGAGCAATTGACTCACTCGAGAGAATTCTTAGCAGCTGATTTACAGCCAGTGCTGCCAACGTATTTCGCGCGCATACGACCTTGTCTGCATGTTACGCGCTCACTATTTCGTGCCTTCACGTTGCAAATCTGGAGTGAGACAAAGTAATTAGAGTGAGACAATGTTAACATTGTCTCACTGATGAGCGAATTGGCCACTTTGCTTTCTAAAATCAGTGAGAGAACATGTACATTGTTAGGTAACTCTAGGAAAAGAAAGTAGTTGTTTCCCAAGCTCTAATTTAGAGCGAGGAAAAACGATCAGCTGATTTTCCCGCGCTCTAAATTTACTTTGCCTCGCTCTCAATTAGTTCTCCATTTATCCACTATGTGCGCTAGTGTTTTGTTAGGTTCGTTGATTTAAATCAGCTGTTTTTATTGTTGCACAATCTAAATCTATATAGGAACAGGCATGAGTTTGTTTTGCTGTGTTTTTAGCATAGTGCATGTTTGAAATTGCTCAAAATATGTCTAACATTACTGATGATTTGATGAAAACAGCTTCACAGGTAACTAGTCACCTTTCATCAGATAAATCACGGGAAAGATGAGAAGAGGAATGCAGAAAGATTAGAAATTGGTACAAATTAAATAATGGTAAGTCAATTAAAGAAAGTTAAGTGACGATGTATTTATTAATATATTCATCTACAAAATCTACAATTATGAAACCATATATATGAATGTTGGGAAGTCTATTTTCAATGATAAAGAGTGGTATAAAACTAATTTAATTATACTAAGATATGTTATTCTGTATGTGGGTATTTTTGCGTCGTGATCGTTCATAACTCGTACCGAAAGCTATTTTCTGACACTTGCTCCATTATTCCCGTCCTCGGCTAGGCCTCGTCCGTGAAAATAACCCTCACATCGTCGATCCCCTAAAGTAGTACATTTTTCTTATTTTTCAGGAGGGCTGAAATACTGTTTTTGAATATGCACTTATTTTGTTGTTTTAAATGCCATTCATTAAGATATGCTCGTCTTTGCCTCACATATGAAACATGAGTGCGAGTCGGAAAATGCCAATTTCGGTCCTAGTAATGAAATATTCTATTATAAAAACAGTTCATTAAATTATTTTAATATTATAAATATAATATTTAATAGAATATTTGTGAAACGTTCTTATAAAATAATCAATCGGAAATATCTTTTCTATAAAGCACACTACAAATATTGCGTCTCACAATATTAAACATACAGTACTGAAGAATGTGACTAGCAAGTAAAGCAGACAACAGTCAATGCAAGTGCAAATATTACGGAGTGATAAATACAGCCTACCTTAGCCGACTCCTTCAGATGGTTCATCGAGGGATCGTTGATCTTCTTGCCAGAAGCTGCTTTGGTCGCTTGGATCAAGTCTCCTAAGGCCGAGGCAACATCTTTCACCGCATTAATCAGCATCACCTGTGGATACATAGGAAAAATAGGGAAGTTAAAACTGCTTCTTGAATTAATTCTGACTAGGTCTAATAAAAACACTGAGATCAGACGGTTCAAATATTGCACCCAATTGTAATGATGTCACATACATGTAATTTTGTTTCAAAATTAAAAGATGCCAATTCACAAACCAAATAGGTCCAATTTATCTTCAAACTTGATACTATGAGAGACTGGGCAGCACAGATGGACTGTGTAGTGTATACCAAGATCTGTAACCACACCCAATCCAGACTGTGTATTAGCCAAAAACACACAATCAAAAATCTGCAGACCATAACGTTGTGAAAACTTACTGTTTGATTCAATGGACTGGGTAGTTGAGTATTAAGTATTCTTGCCTTCAAATGTAATGTTGCTTTGTTGATCCCAGGATGGGTTGACTTGGGACCTCAATACCATTTAATCTTTACGTATTAATTAGGTATGGGTTGGTTTTGTTCCATGAATTGGTGTTTGGTTCTGATTCCAGTTCAGACTCTATGAGATAAATTCTCGATTCTGATTTAAATAAACCTACGAAATTCAAATATGAGCTAAAATTAGATTTGATTAAAACCCAAGATTTTTTTGGGTTAAAAATGTCCAAGCTATAGGAAATTTTACGGGGGTTATGGTGGGTAACATTATATGTATTACCTAACGAAACTGAAAGTCAAATTGCCTTCACAAATCACACTCTAACCAAGGCAGAAGTGAAATATAGTCAGATAAGGAAGGAAACACTGGTATTGATAATTCAAATTTCATAAAATTCTCTAGGAAGGGAGATTCACTCTGGTGACAGATCACGGCTCTCTCACATTTTTGCTCAATCCAGACAAATGTATCGCAACACTAGCTGCTGCGGGTATTCAGCGCTGGGTTTTAATTTTATCGGCCTATCAGTATGAAATTCGCTACAAGAAAGGTATGACGTAACGCTGAGGCACTATCGAAGTTACCTTGAGTCCTACATGACCCATGTATTGACACGCCTCTTGTCTGAGGTTTGCTTTGATGTGGATGGCTTTATTCTGGAGAAGGAAAAAGAAGTTGAAATTTGTCTAAGAGCAACTTCCCCTACAGTAATGCCACATATCTGTCGACACTGTATTAAATCGCTAGATACTTCTAGGAATAACTTCACTGACTATGATATGGAAGATGTTTTAGTAAATAAATTAGTGACATCAGTATTTGAAGTGTTAACTATAAATCTTTCAATATGTTAAAACATATAAAAATGTTAAACGTTACCTGGGCCTCAGGGTTGTTGGAGCCTAGAGATGCAGCTCCGTACTTGACCACCTCGGCTAGCTGTACGATGGTGGACACTGCGTTCTGTGCTGCCACAGCTAACTGCTCTTGGGAGGACGCAGCACCTGCACAACAGACATGTCAGTCCTAAACCTCATGTGCCAGATGTTGGTACAAACATTGACTTTTAAGTTCGGTGACTATGTTACAATATATGATCCTATTCGTCAGGAGTGTGTTGGGGTTGATGATATTGCATCAGACTCGGAGATGGGTACTTGCAGTCTGCCTTGGGTCAATCTTGGGTCCTATGCTGTTGTAATAAATATACATTTGCTAATTTTAAAGACATTGTCACCTTCTGTGTAACTGTGCTATGTTTATAACATTTATATGATAGCAAAGATTGATTCATTTGATTTCCATACAAATTATTTACCTAATTATAATGTTCAGTTTTCAAGAATTACCTTAATTTTACGCCTAGTCCATAGTGTAATGTCAAAATGTCGGGAATGTGTTCTTACACTCTCAAGAATACAATCTAAGTAGCAAATAATTGACCTGCAACAAGTGTCTTGGTATCCTCCACCAGAGCTTTGGCAGTCTTGAGGATGTTCTCTCGGTGATCAGCAAACTTCTCGTCATCGTTCTCGGCATGTAGAGTGCCAGCAGTGGCGAACATAATGGTAGTGTCTAGGTCACCGATGATGCCGGAGACGGTACTAGCTGCGTTGATACAAGCCTGAGTACCACGAGACCCGGCCTGTAGAGCTGCAAGTACTTTGGACACCTGTCAAATACAATACAGACGATAAAATTTAGAAAACTTCATGTTGATAATTGTCAGGGGCTGTTAAGAAATAATAAAATTGAAAGTCTTCGTCAAAGGAGGGACATAAAACAATTATAATTTCATGTAAATGTAGCAGTGACAAGTCAAAACTATTGATACTTGGAAAAGTTTAGGTTCTAAGATTTGATCGTAAATTTAAAGAGTCAATATTCAAAACTACTGAAATTAATCTCTAGGTTAAAAATATTTTTAAGATTAATTAAATATGATGGATTTCAACTAGACTCAAAGATAACTGAAAAATGAATATAGGCTAAAAATAAACTAAATTAAAAGGGTGAGAATATTTTAATTTGATAAAAAGAAAAAAAAGTATGTGTAACCATTAACCAATGCCATATCAGAACAATTAATTGTGCAATGATAAATTTGCAGTTTGAGTAGGCCTACAGTTAAACTCAATTATATCTTGATTTTTATAACATAGCTAGGTTGCATTATGGACTCAGATTCTAATACTAATTTTGGTTTCTAAATGGAATTTCTAAAAAAGTTTAGGAAACAACAGTTATAATGGCCAAAAATGTACAGAGCTTCAGAATCTCTCTGAATACCAACCTTACCTTCTCAGACACAGTTCTGGCGTGATCAGCAACATCTCTCTGGGCAACAGTGTCTCCTGGTAGAGCCTGGCACATTCCTGCAGACCGTACAATCTCAATACATGCCTGACCCAGCTCCACCACAGCAGACGACAGTCTACCTGCCACCTAAACACAACACAGCTGGTACAGTCTCTATATCAATACATGCCTGACCCAGCTCCACCACAGCAGACGACAGTCTACCTGCCACCTAAACACAACACAGCTGGTACAGTCTCTATATCAATACATGCCTGACCCAGCTCCACCACAGCAGACGACAGTCTACCTGCCACCTAAACACAACACAACTGGTACAGTCTCTATATCAATACATGCCTGACCCAGCTCCACCACAGCAGACGACAGTCTACCTGCCACCTAAACACAACACAGCTGGTACAGTCTCTATATCAATACATGCCTGACCCAGCTCCACCACAGCAGACGACAGTCTACCTGCCACCTAAACACAACACAGCTGGTACAGTCTCTATATCAATACATGCCTGACCCAGCTCCACCACAGCAGACGACAGTCTACCTGCCACCTAAACACAACACAGCTGGTACAGTCTCTATATCAATACATGCCTGACCCAGCTCCACCACAGCAGACGACAGTCTACCTGCCACCTAAACACAACACAGCTGGTACAGTCTCTATATCAATACATGCCTGACCCAGCTCCACCACAGCAGACGACAGTCTACCTGCCACCTAAACACAACACAGCTGGTACAGTCTCTATATCAATACATGCCTGACCCAGCTCCACCACAGCAGACGACAGTCTACCTGCCACCTAAACACAACACAACTGGTACAGTCTCTATATCAATACATGCCTGACCCAGCTCCACCACAGCAGACGACAGTCTACCTGCCACCTAAACACAACACAGCTGGTACAGTCTCTATATCAATACATGCCTGACCCAGCTCCACCACAGCAGACGACAGTCTACCTGCCACTTAAACACAACACAGCTGGTACAGTCTCTATATCAATACATGCCTGACCCAGCTCCACCACAGCAGACGACAGTCTACCTGCCACCTAAACACAACACAGCTGGTACAGTCTCTATATCAATACATGCCTGACCCAGCTCCACCACAGCAGACGACAGTCTACCTGCCACCTAAACACAACACAGCTGGTACAGTCTCTATATCAATACATGCCTGACCCAGCTCCACCACAGCAGACGACAGTCTACCTGCCACCTAAACACAACACAGCTGGTACAGTCTCTATATCAATACATGCCTGACCCAGCTCCACCACAGCAGACGACAGTCTACCTGCCACCTAAACACAACACAGCTGGTACAGTCTCTATATCAATACATGCCTGACCCAGCTCCACCACAGCAGACGACAGTCTACCTGCCACCTAAACACAACACAACTGGTACAGTCTCTATATCAATACATGCCTGACCCAGCTCCACCACAGCAGACGACAGTCTACCTGCCACCTAAACACAACACAACTGGTACAGTCTCTATATCAATACATGCCTGACCCAGCTCCACCACAGCAGACGACAGTCTACCTGCCACCTAAACACAACACAGCTGGTACAGTCTCTATATCAATACATGCCTGACCCAGCTCCACCACAGCAGACGACAGTCTACCTGCCACCTAAACACAACACAGCTGGTACAGTCTCTATATCAATACATGCCTGACCCAGCTCCACCACAGCAGACGACAGTCTACCTGCCACCTAAACACAACACAGCTGGTACAGTCTCTATATCAATACATGCCTGACCCAGCTCCACCACAGCAGAAGACAGTCTACCTGCTACCTAAACACAACACAGCTGGTACAGTCTCTATATCAAAATTAAAATTCTTTACTTGGCATTTATCATATACATTGGTTTAGCACCCAAAATTCACTGAAGTTCGAATGATTATTTATTGTGTGAGAATGAATTAGGTTTCTCATATTATAGGAACTTAAACCTCATCCCTATTATGCAATCATGGTTGTAAGATGATATAGTTTTGACAAATCTATGCATTGGAATATAAAGTCCCAGCTTTCCTCTTGTATTATGGTTGTATATGATTTCTATAGTATCAAATTCTTGTAGGTTACTTTGTAATATGTATTGATGAACAATGAACATTGTATCTTATACAAATTTACAGTGAATATTTCTAGTTTGGTAAACAACAGAAGACTATGTTCGACAAGGAGTATATGACTAAGCCAATTTTCTAATAGGCCTAAATCAAGTAAACATTTTAGTATGGGAGAGGCGAAAAGAAGAATGGTGTACAGGAAAGACACACTTATTAGGGGGACACATTTTGTATACCGTATTATTTTGCTTCCTTATTTTTGCATACAAAATCTTACAGTCAATTCCGTTAATTTACATACATCTATAGTTGTTGTAGCTCATAATAAGTATTAGTTCTGGTACCTGTATTTCTTGAAGTCAAGTGTAATGCAATGCAAGTCATAAATAAATTTGCAAAATAATAAATTAATATGCTCTAGAGCCAGAGAACTTGTATTTTACCTCAGGATTGCTAGAACTGGCACCAGCGCCGGCGCAATCTGAAGCTACTTGAGTGTAATGGCGCGTCAACTCTCCTCCAAGAGTACCTAGTGCGCCAGAATTGGTGCCACACTTACTGACCTGGAATAGATTAAAGGAGTGACTTAAGATACTGCTAGTAGACTTGTCATTCTATCAGCAAATTTGAAATCTCTTTGATGTGTGTTTCTTCCGGTTTCGTTTGAATGCACAGATGTTGACAACATATTTCTCGCTCATTTTTTTGTATAGAAATCGGGATAGTTTGCACAGTATGCGCTTTACTTATTGGTAATAAGACCAGAGGACAAGTAACAGATAAATCGTACTATTTTGTTGTTAGACCCTCAAAACCCAATGGATTGTTTCTTAAGCAAGAATTGATTTTTTTTCATACATAATTACTAACTTCTTTTTAGGCCAGAAATCACCAACAATGAGATCTTCCTTAAAATATGTAGTATAGGGAAAGTTTAATACCTCAGTAATGAATGTCCTTAAGTCCCTTACAGTATTAGCAATCAAAACAAACGTAATTTAATTTTATACCCATAGCTAAAATACTTTTGTGATTAAACAGTATAAGTGTAAATTTATTATTATAAGTCAAATCAAATCAAATCAAATCAAATCAAATCAAATTTGCTTTATTCATAAAGTACAGTTTTGTACATTGAATGGCGTCAACTAAATCTATCTTAAATTAATAATTTACAAATTTGCATATCTTGGATCATTATCTACATTAAAAACCAAGAACCAGGAAATGAAAATAATCAAAACTTAATTAATTATTAATGCTAAGAGGGGAGGTGGAAAAATACTCTTCCAGGGAGTAGAACGCTTTCTCTACTAAATAAAGTTTTAGTTTTCTCATGAAATTCTTCCTGCTTTGTTCATTTCTGATTTCATTAGGAAGATGCTTAAAAAAATTTAATCCTATATAGGATAGTTTTTTTCATAGAATTTTAATTTATGTTTACTTGAAATAAGGAATTTTTTATGCCGAGTGTTGTATGGGTGATGATTTGTCTCAGAGGTGCTCAAGCAGGTTTTTGCTAGAATAATTGTGTTGTAAATAAATTGGCCATATACCGTTAAAATTTTCAGTTCTTTGAATTTGTTTTTGGTTGTTTCGTTGTGTTCTAATTTCAAAATTATTCTTATTGCTATTTTTTGAAGTTTAAGTATCCTATCCAAATTTGCTATTGTAGTTGAACCATAAAGGCACAAACCATAGGATAAATGTGAATGGACATTAGCATAATATATGTTTTTTAATGTTTTATGGTTACAAAAATAAGACATTCTAGAGAGTGAATATAGTCCTGAGCATAATTTTGAAAGGAGTTTATCAACATGTTCATCCCAGTTTAAATTTTGGTCCACAGTTAGACCTAGAAACTGTGTATACCCATAGCAAAAAAATATTTGTGATTAAACAGTATAAGTGTAAATTTATTATTATAAGTGTTATTTGATGTTTTTTTTTGTGCTTTCAGGTAATTTAATAACACGTACAATGCTGATCAAGAAAATATTTTCGTAAAAATAATATGTAAAATATTTAGTTTTGATGTATTATTATTTCAAAGTGGCATAGACAGCATTTGTCAACTTGTTCAGTTGAATGGAAGATATTTACAACAGTTTAGTAAACGATGCTGCAACCATATAAGCCTTTTCTTTGGGGTTTATTTAGCCAAGTGTTTGAATGGGTATATCCTGTACTGAGTAATAAATAAATAACGAGAAACAACCCATCAAAGATAAGGCTAGATATTACATGATGGCATTTGAGAAAAATTATATATTAATAATCAGCAACAAAGTTTCTTGATTACCATTTCCTGTGATAGCCGGGCAATCTCCTTTGAAGCAGCAACCATCCTAGTCTGATAGTCAACGAATGATTCTGCAGAATCAGCAATGAAGGATCGGCGCTGGAACGGAGTGTTGGGATCTGGTACTCTGGAAAACAATTCATGCAATATAATTAATAAATTATAATTCATTTAACATTTTACTTATCTGGATAAAAGTATTGTTAGTTATACTTTTTTCTGATTTACAACATTCAAGAATAAAAATATTCAATTTAGTCCAGAAAAATCGAAGAGTAAGTGTTTGTTAATTAATATTAAAGCTTATTTTCAAAGAAAATAAATTTCTTTGAAGATTTAACTGTTATTTTTATGGTTATTAATAAATGTAACAATATTCAACCCTCCAGCAAGTATCCTCAAGCAAGTACATAAGGAAGTAGATATTACTGTAGTTCTAATGGTAAGATCTATCTCTAGGACCGCTGTACTTTTGACATTTCTGATTCCACAGAAACAAAAAAATCCATTAATTCAAACTGTTATTTTGCCTGTCTCTTGTAATATATAACTTAAGTACTAATTGAGCATTATTATTTTAGTTTGGTGTTGAACTGAGAGACTTTCCCTTTATTATGAACCTGTTTGAATGAAAAATTTCAGTTTATAGAACATTTATTGAATGTTCATTTACCTGGACATTGCTCTGGAGATGGAGTCCATAAGGCCTGTTACAACTCCAGCCTGGGTCGCTAGCTCTGCCAACGTCCCCGTTAGCTCCGCCAATGCTTCCCTTGTCCCCGCCACACACTCGTCAACATCCGTGTGGATATTCACTGCCTGCCACATAACACTCCACAGTCAACACTAGAAGCTGTTTAAGAAGTTTTCTATTCTTAAATGCATAGAGCTAGCTTACCTTACATTACTCAATTGGCTTAAAGGTACACAGAAAACTTTGCACAACAGAATACGGTTATTTTGTGCAGGTTTTTATTAGCGGATAGAAAATTTATTTTCCATGAAAAAGTCTTACACAAAGACAAACTACCAGTATGATATGGTATTCCTGCCAAATAAATTAACACATAGGCCGCATAAGTCGCGGATTAGCACCCGTATCCAACTCGTATTTTTTGCTTCAGTGTGAGCTCAGCAGTTACTGGGAGGTTCGTATCACTTGTGCGCATAGGACATTCCCCCATTTCATTGTGTGCTCACCTTGCCCCGATCTGTCGACTATTACGGAATTTGTGATTGCTTTATTGTGTGTATTTGGCATATATGGAACGCAATTATAAGCATTTTCAGCAGTCAATGTGTTAAATCATACTTATCATAGTGTGTGTTTTCCGTACTAGTAGCATACTAGTACTGTGGTTATGAACTATATTTAAACGCTCTCAAGTTATTTGCCGTATTTTCAGCTGATCCTTTGAGCAATTAATCTCTTATTATTCCCCTTCATTTGTTAAGTTTCTTAAGCATCTTACCCAAATCCAAAATCTTATCTTATCTTAAATCCAAAATACCCACAATGCAATGTGAGCAAAGGTATTTGCCCACGTCGGGTTGTGGGTGTTTCTAGTTCGTGCAAACGCCGAATAGCCTGAATAAACTGCCCCATACACAAAAATCAACATGTAATACACAATCAAATATATTTTTCTACTAACATACAGCAATCATGGTTGATTTTTGTTTGGGTGTTTGATATTTCAGCAAAATAAGTAACAGCTACTCATTGATTTTTGAACTCAGAGGGTGACTTACCTTAGGGTTTCCTCCGCACTCCTTAGTGACGTAGAGCAACTGCTGAGCACACTCTATAACTGTCTTGGTCTGGTCTAGGAGGATCATTTGCTGCTTGGAGTGGACCATGTTGGAGGCTGCTCCGATAGATCCAGCAGTGAGAGGGTCACAATAGACAACCAGTCTCTCCACCTGGCAAAGTTAATAGCAAGTCTAATCAATCATTCTACTGCATTCTAGTTTACTCTTCTATAAGTTTTGTACTTTTTCTGCAGTACATAAAAGACTTGCTGTTTATAAATTTTGTAGGGAAAAACTGGCAAAACCCTCAACTGACAGCCTAATTCAAAACTGACCCATTCCTGTTCATTACAGACACTGTTGATGTTAGTGGGTCAATGTATTCTTAAATACATTATCATTATATTTTCTCTGCATTACATAAAATAAGTTATTCTTGTATGTAAGTAGTGGGACTAACCGCATGGCCGATGTTTTCAGCCTCCGCCTTAGCAGCTGCGCGGAGAGGCTCTAGACGGTCGGAGAGCTCTGCCGCAGCACTGTCTGTCTGCTCAGCGAATCCTTGTAAACTGTTGTCCCTGGACGGAGGCAGATTCTGGGACAGCGCCAGTAGGGCTGCTTGGTCCAGCTCCGTAATTCTCTGGCCCAACTTGGTGATGGCTTCCTCACATTCCCTCTGTCCGGGCGCCTTGTCCCTAAACCATGTTTAAAACTTAGCAGCAGAATGCTACATCATTTTGATAAGTCTAGAAAAAACTCAATATGTCTGGTCATATGAAAGAAATTATATATTGTCACGTGAGATGGCATATCTACTGAAACCAAATATGTCTGCTTGGAACATGGGAACCTTACGAATGAATTTCATGCGAGTAAACATCTTTTATCATGGACTATCCTTTGTTTTAAAAAAAAGAAATGTGGTAAGATTTTTGATTGAATTTAGTTTTGTATACAATTATTGTGTCAAAATGTAACATAATAAGCTGATTTGTCTCAATTCCTTTTAACAAAATGCATTTTAATATTATGATGTAGGTTAACTGTATTTACTGGAATAAATTGATTAAATATATGCATAAGCTGGATGATGTAGAAAATGAGCAAGGATTTCATTCAACATTAAAATATTATGAAATATTTCTTTTCATTAATAGCACAACACATTTTCATGACATATTTGTTTATTTTTTACTAGTAAGTTACCAAGCATTGATCAAGCATATTTAACAATTTCTACTGTTGCAAAACCAATATTTTAATAAATCTTATAATTACCTAATGGAAGCGACCAGTTTCTTGATAGAGTCAGAGACGCTCTTGCTCTGATTGGCGAGGAGTTGCCAAGTAGGAGGATCTTTTGGTGAAACGGCCAAACTCTTGGCAGCACTGACCATTACACAGCTGGAGTCAATGATTGCACATCCGGCCTCAACAATGGGCTGTTGAGCAGCGCGGGCGGCCTCGCTTATACGTGCAGGCTGGCTCGCAAACTCTGGTGAACTAGCGAAAGTCACGAGTGACTCCACAGCATCCAACAGAGGCACTGTAGCTGCTGAACATGACTTGCGGTTGCGTTCAGAATAGTCCAAGTCCAGGGCTGAAACACATCATAGACACTAAAGATAAACAAGCTTATTTGTTTAAAAAATTCATGCTTTTAAGTTTTTTTGCAGTTCTCTATTGAAAGGTTTTACTGACCTAAAAGCCTAATTTGTAATTTGAGTTGGAAAAAGTCATCAAAATGTCTACATTTCAATGACACTTTTGAATACAAGACATTTACAAACTCAATTTTTAGATGGATTATTAAATATACATATAGTACAAGTAGCAAATGACAATGTTTATACATGAAGTATGTTTTAAAAGGGAAAAAATCTATCATTAATATTATACCTTTGATTTCTTTGACCAAATTGGCAGTAGAATTAGCGACATCCTTGGCCGACTGGACAAAGTGCCGTTTGGCCACCGGATTGGCTGTTTTGGAGCTTGCTACACGACAAGCGTTGCACAATGCGCTAGTATGCTTGGCAATCACGGTAGCAGCTGACAGCACCTGACAAACAACAGTCATTTTAGTAAGTCATATCCTACAGAGAGAAAGACAAAAGTCATTTATAACTTCATGGGGCACAAAGGTGGAGGTTAGGAAATTACAAGACTATTTTGCCTCGATGGTGGGAGATAACCACAGTCCAGTACTATTTTCTTTGTGAATTGACATTGCATCCTAAAACTATGTAGATCCATGTGCTAAGTAGAACAATTTACCTTAAAAAATATCAACAGGCATGTCTTTAGTTTAGTTTAGTGTTTAGTTTCACTTCAAGGAGCGTGTGTTTGACTTTGCTTTCTGCCATCAAAACTATATATTCTGCAAAGTTACTGACATCTTATTTTCTATCTTGATACCTAGCTGTTTCTTCACCTGCTTAAGAGATTTTTCAAAAGTCACATAAAAAAGGAATTGGAAAAAGCCATTCCCTTGTCTCACACCAGTCTTCTGATACGCTATGCCAATGTAAAAAAAAAGTTAAAGATAAGACAAACCTGCTGCTGATTACTGGTGGAGGAGGATAGTGTTTGGCACGCTGCCTGGATAGCCTGGTAGGCTCTAGCAAACTGAGCCTGATCTACCAGTCCTTGCTTAGCAGCCACACTGCTAGGCTCACTGACTGCTAGCAGATACGCTGCCTGCGCTGCTGCTTCTACCAATCCGCAGATTGAGTCACTCACACCTCTCACAGATTCCCCAAACTGCTCGTGTTGACAACGCTTTGCGTGGTTAGCAATCCCTGTCATTCCGTCACCTGTAAAAACACTAGTTTACTAACACGTTTCACAAGAATCCAAGTCAATTTACTAACATCTACTCTTACTCCCATTACTTTTTATATCTAAAAAGGTATTTGTCTCACAAACTACCTCCACCTCCTCCGATCTAGTGTGTTTTTTTTCATCAGCTCTAAACAAACTGATTTTACTACTTCATATTTCCGTCTCTTTTGGGGCACCCAAGGGATCTTCAACCATCAGTTTCTTCCAGGTTTGTTTTATCATAGCTTCATCTCCCCTCCCTTATTGCATGTTTATCTCATCTCAGAAGCTGCTTTACAGAAATATTTTTCAATTTCTGCTTAGTCTAGCTGGAATCTGGCATTTTGCAAATTTTTAAAATAATAAATAGTTTCAAACATGTTAGAGATATTTTTATGAAACTTGCTATACAATATTTGTTATTAAAAATTCCCAAAAATATTTTTTAACAAAGTTATAAAATATCAAAAGGGCAGTCTTTAAAAAAATTAAAGGCGAATTCCATAGACTAAATCAAAATTACACATGTTGACCAAAGATGTGGCCACTGACATCAAACAAGTGGCGATGCCATTTCTCCTACTCTCCAAAAAGTGTCCGTGGGTAGAGGGGGGCTGTTAAAATAGTGACTATGGGTGGCAGATATAGGTACACCTTAAAAAAATAGGAATAAACGCTACTTCCTTTAAAGAATGAGCACTATTCAGTTAGGTACCATCGGTACACCAGTACCCAGAACAAAAAATTGGTTTTGGTCAGGAACCAGTACTGATGATATATCACTCTTCTTAAACATTATCAAAAGCCAACAACACAGTTGGGTCCACACCTACTCTCTATGCCTAGTCAATGGCATGACAACCTTTATTCGACTCTCACCTAAGCTCTTGGACTTGTCCATGACAGTATCTAGACAGTCAAAGTAAGATGCGTCACTGATGGGTTCCGATGGGTTGTCCAGAAGAGGCCTCATGGCTTGGATGTTTCTAATGGCGTTGTCACACTCTTTCTGTCCTGGCGCAGCCGATGTGCAAACATCCACCAAGTAGTTCACACTATCTGTCACTGCCCTACAACAAAATATGTGAACATTTTAAAAACCTATTCTTTTGGTTCTTAAAACTGTAGGTCGCAAATACATTTTAAATTAATGTGTAAGATTCTTGGTACTTTTACATAATTTATTTGTCATTTTACCAACAAGACAGTAGTCAACATGTTAATTTTGGAAAGCAATAATTTCAAAAAAAAATTTCAAATGTTTATTGAGAGATGTAGTTTTTAAAACTACAACAGGCTGTGGTACCTGGCAGCTGAGGCAAGCTGGTTCTTGGCGTTGGGTGCCCCTGGGTCAGCCGCTACATGCTTGGCTGTCACTAGCAGTTTGGACGATACCATTGACACATTCTTGAGGGACACAACCATCTGACCTCGCACTTCTGTGTCCTTAGTCTGTCCTGCCATCTCCATACCGACACCGAGGATGTCTCCCACAGCATGTCCGAACTTGCCTGAGGCCCTGGGGAGTACAACAATATTTAACCTGGCTCTCAGAAAATTGTTTTGCTAAAGCTAGCTTCATTAAGTATTGACCAGAAATATATCTTGTCAAAAACAAAAACTCAAAAAGTTAAAAATAGTAAACAATAGTTATTTGTGCAACTAGTGAGAAAAGTGAGCAATTGACTCACTCGAGAGAAATCCTTACTCACGAGCCGTAGGCGAGTGAGGAATGGTTTCTCGAGTGAGGCAATTGTACTTTGAACTCGAGTTGCACATTATACTTTTCCTACAGTTACCATAAAACAAATAAATTGGTGAAGAAACATAACCTATTTTTACACAGAAGTGAACTTTTAACATAACATTTAATGCGAAGTGACAAATACAACAGTACAACAGCTGACCAGCTGATTTACAGCCAGTGCTGCCAACGTATTTCGCGCGCATACGACGTTGACTGCATGTTACGCGCTCACTATTTCGTGCCTTCACGATGCAAATCTGGAGTGAGACAAAGTAATTAGAGTGAGACAATGTTAACATTGTCTCACTGATGAGCGAATTGGCCACTTTGCTTTCTCAAATCATTGAGAGAACATGTACATTGTTAGGTAACTGTAGGAAAAACATCATATATGTTGTCATAAAGGATGAATCTTGTTTTGCCAAGATTATGACCCGTGGCGTTTTGTTAGAAAAACACTAAATTATGTATAATAAAGGCATGTATGTAAAGGTCTACCCTAATTCTTTTTGGATATATTTTGGACCCACAATCACTGTACCAAGTGTATAAAAATATTATATTTCATCATTAGGTCATAAAGTGGCTCTTATGACTCAAGCTAAAATATGCTATAATGGGAAATATTTTTTTTGTCAAACTCATTTTACAAAGGGAAAAATGTACAGCAGATGTCCTCGACTACAGTTCGTTTTTCTTTACTTTGGGTTAAACCGCCCCTGAGGGTGTAGTACATCACTGAATAATGTCTAATGTGTTAAATATATTTTAATGCCCAGTAACTTTGTTCCAAGCTTTGTAGATCTATCTTGATTATTTTTTGAAATATTTGACAGTCCCAGGACTTTTTTCCACCCTGTATGGATGAAACAGTTTCTTCACAAAAAAATAAGTAAAACCTATTTTGTTTGCAGCCGTAACATAAAAATCTACTAGCATATATATATAATTTTATACGCTATAACATAACTGCCTAAGATTAGACATACCTTTCAAGATGCTGAGGGCTGCGCACAGCAGATACAACCTCCGTACTAGCGTCACTGACACTAGCAGCTGCAGTGTTGAGTTCAGCCTGCAACTGACCGTAGGGCTTGTCTGAGACTGGGAACTCTCCACGCTCCAGTGCTGCCGACGCTGCATGGATGGAATCAATAGCAGTGTCCACAGCACGCTGCCCTGGCAAAGCACTGATGCAATCCTTCAGGGACTGGAACAAAATCATGACTATATAACTAGAACAATAAAGTTTGGCATTTGTCTGGTAATTTACAGCAGAAATGTGTTATTTGAAAATTTAACTTAGTGTTTCTGTAATTAGATTTCTGGGAGTCAATTCCTAATGAAATTGAATGCCAGTTTACAGCTGTGTGTGGAGTAAAGTAGATGGACATAAATAAAGTGGTTTAGGGAGTTTGCAGAAATCAAAATCTGCATGCCAAATTTCCTTACATCTTCATGTACATGAATTTAATAAGGTTATTAAAATGCCTTTATTAATTCTAAATCAAACTACTATGCCTTCATTCCCATTTGGATTTGCTGTTTTCAGCGTTACATTGAACAAAAAAGGATTGCCATTATAGACGGTAAGTTTTTACTACTTTTATAAAGTAGCACCTAGAAATTTCTAAGTACCTGTGTAACTTTCTTGGCAGCCTGTGTCAAGGAGTCCAGGTTGTTCTGGTCATGGAGGGTTCTTCTGGCTTCTTCAATTAAAATCAAGGATCTTTCCAGAACTTCTTCTGTTGTCACAACAAGTCTGTAACAAAGGAAACCTCAATCAAAGAACCCAACGTGTGGAGAAGCACATTTTGTAATCACTTTTATGAAGTGTCAGGAAGGCCTTCTTACAAGTGAAAGAAATGTATACTTTAAAGTGTAAACATAGTCAATAATAGTATTCACACAAATTGTAACTATCCTATGGATATTTGTCAAAAATACAAGATTGCAAAAAAAAATAATAAAATCAATGTTAATAATTCTTACCGCTGCTGAGTTTCTCTGTTCTGTGTCGAGGCAGCCACGGCACGGACAGAGTGGGTCAGGTCTCGTAGGGAGTGAGCCGTGTCTCGTGCCGCCAGCGCCGTGTACATCTCATTGCCTTGCGCCGCCGCACTCACCATCTGAGCGATGTTAGAGTTGACGTTCTTCGCTGCACTTCCAACTGTGGTTGAGTCAACCTACACAATATACAAGAGTGACATTAAGTAAATAATATCCTTTGTTTTAGGGATATTTTTGGTTATGTTATTTAAGTTATTTAAGAGATTGTTGCTAAAATTTTCTACCGTTATTTGAAAGGTTTTGGTATCTTGAATATAATACCATCTCCAGGAGTAAAAGAAAAATATTTTATAATCCCATACAAAATTCACACTCTTTCCTTGTCATTGAAATTAAACGATTCTTAGTACCCAGGTTAGCTGGACACCCTGCTGTAATCTTTTCTTTACCATGAATAGAAAATTAAAACTTCCAGCAATAATTTGCACTATAGTAGTTCTCACACTATCTTTAATCAACTGTGTCAATGTTTTTAAAGAATCTACTACAGTAGACTCCCTCTTATCTGGACACCTTTTAACCGGACATTGGTTTAACCGCACTACACTCGGTGGAAATGACATCTCTTTAACCGGACAATTTTTATTAGCACATCGGAATAACCGGACTAGATTGGAAGGAAGTGGGTAGTACTGAAACGACTGTTCTCGTGGGAAAGATTTGAAACCAGTGTTCACGTGTGTAAATACAATGCTCTCCTAAGTTTAAGTCAAATACTGTATACAGTATGCATTTAAATGGTCCGTTTTAACGAGTTTTTGGGGACATCGGTTTAACCGGAAAACCCGTTATCCGGACTGGCCTAGGTCCCGAGGAGTCCGGATAGGAGGGAGTTTACTGTACTTTGTAGTTGACTACGCACTTCAAAATACTTGCTCCAATGAATAGAAAAATTTACCGTGTCTCCAGGGAGTGGTCGAAGTTGACCTCTCTCCGCAGCATGGAGTAGTTGTACAGTCTCGTCCTTGAGTGAAGTGACGATATCAGTGGCTGCGTCTAATTCTAGTACAGAGCCACAAGCATCCTTGGCACGGTCTGCTGCAGAGCGCAGCTCACTCAATGCAGTTCCCAGAGCTGTTGAGGAGTCTGACAGTTGCATCACTGCTGCTTGGTCCTTCACAGTTGGCACAACTGCCCTGCAGCTCGACACCACGCGACTTCCCGGCTGAAACATCGGCAATATGTCAGTGTTTAAAATAATCATAAACTAAAGTCACTAAATTTGTTGTACTAATAAGTTTACGTAAAGTAAATAAATGAAGCGTCTTATAACACCTAAAACATATATTTACGCTTATACTGTTACTCACAAGACGGCAAATATACAAAAAAGATGGTAAGTGGTGATAGATTTCGATTGGACACTCCAATCATCATCAGACCCAATAGGCGAATGACAAGAATTTTGAATGGCGTCCCTACTTATACCATATTGGCTACCAGAAGGACCGGCCAATACATTTTCATATGTACAACTGGAATCGAAATTTACTTGTTCATTAATCAACTTATTTCTATTTTACATTTTTCCTTATAAATATACAATTCTTCCCAAGCATTCACTACATATCCTTTCTTACAATTCTTTAAAATACATAGACTATCCTCAATTTTTCCTATTGAGCACTCAATAGCACTCAATAGGAAAAATCTGACATGTAAACAGTGCTTGATTTATAAAAAAAATTAGGAACTGTAAACTATTTAATGTGATTGGTGCCCATTTATATGGCTATTTATGCCAATATATTGTTATCTTTCCAAAAGAGAAGTACCTGAACATTGTTCTTACTTACCGGTACTTACGATGCAAATCGAACACTGCATGTACAAATGTTAAAAGACCAAATGTCTTTAGTGATCCTTATTGCCTCTATTGACAAATATGTTAAGTAAAAAAATGTCTGCCTGGATCCAGACAATGACTATGAGTTGAGACTATGTTGGAGGTTTACCTGCAAGAACTGATGGCTGGCACTGATGAGATGAAGTTGTGCATTGGCAGAGTCTGGTTGAGCGATGGTTCCCTTGACTCCCTGGACCAGTGCTGGTATGTGCTCTGCCAGGCTACGGCAGTCCACTGTCAGCTCATCTTGGGCGGTCTTGTTGGTGTTGTGCGCTGCCACACCTTGCGCTGACGAGATACACTGGGTCGCTGCACTTGCAGCTTGCTTTGCAGCTCCCTAGAATAATTCATTAATTAAAAAAACAGACGTAACAACCCTGTATTTGCCACGCATAACCTTAGGCAAGTACGCAAAACACATTAAGCAAAGCAGAGAGTGAGCCAATTTGATACAAAAATGAACAGTAGTGATAAATATTACTGGTGGGAAACGAACAACGCGACATTGCTGCCTTGGATTTGTAATTCATTGTGCTACCGATTGAATCACACTCACCTAACTTACCCCCTCATAAAATGAACCTGCTATTATTCAAAGTGTTCAGCCAACTACGAAACCAGGTGAGATGATTATCGGGCTACCGTAACTGCGGGAGATTTTCATGGATGTTGACGCATTTAGTGCCACCCACGTTAACTAATATGTACATAAATAAAGTGGTTTAGGGAGTTTCCAAAAGGCAAAATTTGTCTACACCTTCGTATATAAATGAGTTTAAAAAATCTACACATGTGTGATTCTGCAAAAATTGCATTACATATGCCTTTGTTAATGCTTGGTCCAATTACTATACCTTCATTCCTATTAATTTTTTTTGCGAGCCATTGAACAAAAAAGGATTGCCATTATAGACGGTGAGTTACAAGTGATTCTGACAGCCGCCCTCCTCCACCAACTATGTAGGAGAAAAGGGGGCCGCCACTTCACCGAAGACAGTAGCTGTCGCCGTTTCACAATCGAAATTTACCCGATGCCTTGGCACGTAGCAGTCAAGAGGGCCATACCCTGTTGATACCCACATTTAAACATCGATTCTCAGAACCTGTCCAGAAATATTTTGCAATAACCAACGACCTTCAGGATAATGTTCGATTATTGTACCTGGAGCCTAGTGACCAGAGTCTTGCGCAGGGCTGGTGTAGCTGCTAGTGTTGTGGCTGCACGTAGTTCCTCTACAGTGTGGCGCAGATACTGCTGGCGTGCAGTGTCATGAGGGTGACTGGCGCACTGGCGTGCAGCTTCCACCATACGTGTTGTAGCCTCTGCTAGCACCTTGGCAGCAGCTAACAGTCTACGTTGAATCTCTGAATCAGGCTGTTTGTCTGCTTCACCCTACAAACATTTAAAGCATACATCCAATAATAAATTCTTAAATTCTTCGTTTGGATACAGATCTATTAAGAGAGACCAGTGCAAAACCAAGCAGTTCAAATCCATACTAAAGCCTAGTCCACACATGGAGACTGAGTCGGCCGACTGTCTGCCGACTGTGCGCGGACAGTCGGCAGACAGTCTGTCAACACAGTTTCAGATACAAGTTTCGGATGTGTTTTGCGTCCACACTAGCCATCCAGTGTTTCCATGTTTGTTGGTATGGTGACCGAGGAGGACATAATTATATCTTGTGCGGGCTTCATTTTTCTGAACCATGGGCCTAATGAATCTAGGAAGAGACGATGATGGACCCAACATTTTCTCGAGCAAGGTTCGTACTATGGTCACACTCTTCTATCAGACCTTCAGATTAGGAGGAGGATTTAGGACCTTCACGAGGTTGACTTCTAAAGATTTTGAAATTTTGCTGGCCTTTGTTTGTCTTACAATTTCCAACTTGAAGAGATGAACAATTCAATAAAACGTTATATAATGATATAAATCATTGAAAACTAATTCCAAAACTTTCAAGAAACTCAATACAGCTCTTTTATTCCAAAAATCGTAATATTACCGCTTTGCAGTCTAACTATATGGGCTGAATGTTGAACACCTTCGGCTTGTTTCCAGTCTCCTGTCTCCAGACACGTCCACACATGCAGACCAGAGACAAAAGTTTTGTCTCTTGTCTCTGTGTTTCCCATTCGACCGGGAAACAGAAAACACTTTTTTTTGTCTCCAGAAACACCGATATTTGTCTGCCGATAGTCGGCCGACATACTGGAGACAAAATAGCAACACTCCGGAGACAGTCGGCAGACAATGTTTCCGCAGACAAATCGCCATGTGTGGACGAGGCTTAAAGACAAAAAATCTTTTACATGAATTTAGTTTGTAATAATTATGTTGTGTCTTGATTAAGCACCGTGAGACTTGAATTTTATAAATTTGGATCTTCTTAAAGAGTAATTAAAAAATGGTCGTAGGTAAAGTAGTGTAAGCAACTCACATGATTAGCCTTTACGACACACGTAGAAGTTTTTTGTGTCGTAAACGACCTTTAGATGTAAGAAAGATAAGGTTTAGCTGATGATAATCACCTTGATTGCCTGTACCAGTTGGGCAGTGGCTTGACCTAACACTCTGGCCTGACGAACCATCTCACCAGCATCACCTTGAGAGGCAAACAAACGATCTGTCGCTACCAGGATGGTCTCCACAGAACTCTCCTGAACACTTTCTCTGGCCCTCTCTCTTCCACTCAGTCTGAAACATGGAGCAGGAAATTATAAACTGACCTACATCAAATAAAGGAAAACCTGTCTCCGTAATACAGCTTAGATTAGGTCGTTTTACGGACTTTTACCTTCAAATAACTTAATTAAGAAGCAAAATGTTATTATCCATGAAGAAAAGATACACTAATAAGATATTTGTCTGTTGACAATACCAAGGAGCATGACACATTTAAAGAATAGATAGATCAGTCTCAAGTTTACATCTTTTGGATCAAGAAAATGATAGGTTCTATATTGGTTAACTCACCTCAAATTCAAGTCAGCAGCAGTCTATATTTATAATTTTTATTACTGTATTAGTAGTTTTTTAGTAATTGGATCATTTTTACACTTGATAGTTAGTGGATTGTTTTAGGAAAAATGGAAATAAATGAAAGAAGAAGTAAGTAAGGTATGAACCATAAAAATTGGGACATGACAAGACAAAAATCACAACCAAGGTGGAGGTCAAGAAATGATGAGATAGGACAGGAAAGCAAATATTTTTAAGACAGAAAATTAAAGATGTAATCTGATAAATTATTTGCTTTTAGTTTCTAGTGCTATTATTTTTGCAACCAGCTTGTTATTTTGTTATTAAGTTGTTAATGTTATTAATCTAAACCTAGTTCTACAAATATAACTTGAAATTTTAAATATATATATCAGAGTTCTCTATCAAGCTTTCTCAAACCTACAAAGTAATGATCAAATGCCTACCCTAAAATATCAGATTTTAAAAATACTTCAGGAAAATGGATTGGGGATGGCTTGTATTATTGTAGGAAGTAGGCCTGTTAATAACATTACTATAATAAAATAGTCAAACCGAACTTACCCAGCTCATTGCATAAGTAATTACTCGATTGAGTAAAAAAATATTACTCATTAAAAAAAATATAGGTCCTTACTTGATGTGGTTAAGGAGTTGGTTAAGCGTGCGAGTAACTTCTGCTGCCGCTTTGCTCAGTTCCTTGAGAAGGTGTTCATCTTGACAGCTCTCGTTGCAAATCTGGACGAGAGCTTCGACGGAGCGAGCCACTTCCCTCACTGCAGACATCAGCTGTTGCTGACAGGCAGGACTATGGAGGGTGGGAGCAACTACCTGTTAACATTAGAGGTTATGTTTACAGCTTTATGATATTTTGTTTAGACGACTTATTAGTCTTTGTTAGATCCTTGAGTGTTGGTTTCTTGGAGTTACAAAACCCAACACTGAGTAAAATCAACAAAAATTGAATTCTCAACCTTTATTTTTTTCTTTTTGTAAAAGAAAGTCAATAGGTTACTAAGAAGACTCCTATAAGAGAATTAAAAGATTTTAGAGTTATCAGGATCATTGTTTAGTATCCAAAACAGATGGTAAGATTTTATTAATAAGCTGGTGAAAATGTGGGTTGAGAATCAAAAGTAAAAAATTAGAATATAAAAAGAGTGCACAAGTTCAGTGAATGTGGGTCCAATCTTCTGATTAACTGCATGAACCAGTTTATCGTTAACTACAGATAGACGTCCACCTTCTTTATCAACGTGCACTTGATCATATCCTTCTTTGAACTGTCAAACCTATTTACCTATTGTCTCACCATTGAATCGCTCATCGTAAAACTCGCAGATTTGTCATTGAAAGTCAACTGGTTTAACTTTTCTTGCGGTAAAAAACCAATTACAGACCTAATTTTACAGTCCGCCGATTTTACAGTTTGAAGCGGATTTCTCATTAATACAGCCATTATAAACAGTTGCTAAAAAGTGTGTAATACAAAAGAGAGCTCAAAATTGAGTTGTTTAATCCATATTAACAGACAGATATTGGCTATGCATACGATAGCAGCATTTCCACCAGAGAAAATGGAAATGGATGTTTCTTTCAATACGTACCTCGTAGAAGAGGAAATACAAATTAGGTTGAATGTAGTTTATAGATGTTACGGGATCTTATCAAATTTACTGAGCATTAATCTCCAACCAAGGTTTACAACAATTAGAATATACAAGGTAATATAGCCAGTTCACTTGTGCATTGTCTAAGGGACAGATATTGACAAAACCTGCTCTAGAGAACCTAATTTTACAATTGTAATACAATTTTAAATACGGAGTTTGAAGAATACTAAAATTGTAGGAGGGATAAGAAGGAGAATTATATGGCTAGGTCACGTAAAAGGGAGGAAAACACAGAGATGAGAAGAGTATGGAGATGGCAACTAGAAGAGAGGCGCCCAATAAGAAGACCGAGATTAAAATGGAATGACCAAGTGGTTGAAGACTCAAGGAAACTTGGATGGGATGTTTGCATGATGGAAGACAGAATAGTCTAGAGGTAACTTGTTGGATTCGGGTTAATACAAGGGTAAGTAGAGTAAGGGGCATCTGATGTTTACCTTGGCACAAGCTACTAACTGAGAAGTAGCCAAGGCACACTGAGTCGCAGCTGTGATGACAGTGTTCTGTTGGTCTTGAGGCATAGTGCCTGCCACTGACTTGGCCCTCAATACCAGCGCTGCAGTTGTGTTAGCTACTCCCTTGGCTAGCCCTGCAACATACAAACATAACCTTCAATGCATTATTTACTATCAAAATATCTAAAGTGACAAGTGAGCTCAAGTTTAATTGAGCAAAGAATGAAAACGAGCGAGGTTCAACAATACACTTTGGGTCCGTGTGATGAACTATACTTTTTGTCTTATCGCACCATTATTTAAGCTTAAAAATTAACAAAGCATAAATTTTGTACATTTTTCATCTTTAAAAATTAACTCTTTAAATGGTTTCCCTTTTGCTTTGATATTATATACAAACAAATGATACTGTTATTAACCCTGGGCGGGGCATGTGGCCTAGGAGGGGCAGAAACTTGTAAAATTAAAAAAGAGTTACTTTAGGCCACCAACGCATGAATTGAAGACAGCTGTTTTTCTGAGGTGTAACTAATATTGATAGTTCGAATTAAGATGGATCATTTTAGTGATAAAATCATAAGCATACTTACTTACTCTTACTCCCATGGCCATTTGCTCTTAGAGCCATTAACAATTAAAGTAGCCAATTTTATTAGTTTATTTGGGATTCCAAAACTTTCCATTCTATACCAAATTTTTTCCCTATGAATGCTATCATACGCTTTGCTAAAATCAATAAGTAGGCCATAGAAAGATTTACCAAAGTCCCAATATTTAGCTATTGCTTCCTTAAGAATGAATATTTGATCTGTTGTGGACCTGCCCCTTTGAAAACCTCAATGCTCTTCAATTATTTCCTCTGTGTATTCCTCAAGTCTCTTCTGGAGTATCTTGGACTTTACCTTATAGGAAGTACTTAGTAATGATATTCCTCGGTAGTTATTTGGGTCCCATTTATCACCCTTTTTGTGGATTGGGATTATTATTGCATTTCTCCAATCTTCCGGTACATTTTCTTCCTTCCATACTTGTAATATTAATTTATGTAGCCTTTTTGATAGCTCAGGTCCTCCAGCTTTCAATATTTCAGCACTTATTCCGTCGTCTCCAGGGGCTTTGTTGTTTTTCATATTCTTAATAGTTTCCTGTACTTCTTCTACAGTCGGTGCTTCAATGTTTGGTTGAATCTTCATGTATTTTGGAGCATTCACTCCCTCACTGCCTTCATCTCCATTTAGTAAATCTTGAAAATAATCTTTCCAGATATCTAACACTTTGGATTTCTCAGTGACAATTTCTTCATTTTTCTTAACACCATAAGAATTGGGATTATATCCTCCACTAAATAGTTTGACTGTCTTATAGAAACTCCTAGGATTCTTATCACTTTCGTTTTGTGCTTTCTCTAGAAGACTATTTACATATTGCCTTTTTTTAAACCTCAGAAGTCTAGTCGTCTCTTTACAGGCATCGGTATATCTTCTCTTATTTCCATCATTTGGATTTGCTAACCAGATTTCTTTGAGATCTTTTCTTTCTTTTATTTTGTGTTGACATTCGTCGTCGAACCATGGCTTCTTTTTCGGTCTCTTTGCTTTTCCACATACTTCTTTTGTAGTTTCTGGCACTATCGTTTTAAAAGTATCCCAGTTGTTTTCCAAAGTATTCTCTGTGTCTTCTAGGACTCTGAACCGATTTTCCAACTTCAGACGGAACTCATCCACATCCTCTTTTTTCTTCAGTTTTCTGATTTCCCATCTTTCTACCTGACTAGAGTTTTTCCTCTTTTCTACCGCTGTGTGCTGCTTTACTTTTACTAATATTAAATAGTGGTCTGACCCACATTCTAATGATTTTAATATGCTTTTAAAATCATAAGCATATTAAAAATATTTGCTATCTTTTTTTACAAATTCCAAGAATAACACATCGTAACATTTTAGCGAGGACAACTCACCTAGAAGAGTATCTTGCATCTCACGAGTTTCTTGATCCTCATCTCCGATTGTTGTCAGAACTCTGTGAGAGGCTTCGCCGACTCGGCTGGCAGCATTTAGCAGTGACTGTCTTGGCTAGAACATACACAAAAACTTTAAATCATGGAATGTATGAACTGAAAAAATCTTGTATTGCAAAAGATATGACTAAATGTGTATTGCACAGAAATTGTTTGCGGCATAAGGGCAGGGATTCTTGTGCACATAGATGTTATATACAACATTTCATTAACTTGGTTGTTCAATAATACAGTACACTATCACTAATCCGGGCCCCATATTGTAACTAGGCTAGTGTTGGATTATTGAAAGTTCCTGGAAATGAGGGAAATAGGAAAAACTTGAGTACATAGTGGCATCGTCATCATCGTCTACCGTGATCGTGGAGAGGTCATGAACATATTTCGTGAGAGATATTGTGAATTCCGTTGAATAATAATACAAAATACAATTAGAGTATTTATGTTTACAAAAACAACTTTACTACAAAGACAAAGTGACACAACTGGACTAGACAACACACCTAGTGACAAAAAACTAATTTAAATAGACTATGAAGTCCAAATCCAGATTACTGGGCATGGACTAGTGCATGGATAGATCATAGATATTAAACTTTACACAATTTAATGTGAACTACAGTAAAACCTCTTTAATCCAAACTAATTGGGACCGGGGGTAGTTCGGACTAGTGAATAGTTCGGATTACAGAACATATTGTTGTTTTTATATAACAATAGCTAGGGAAAAGTGAAAAATGCTTTATAAAGTAAAATACAGTGCTTATTTAATACAGTAGTAAACACAGGGAATAAACAGTACTGTACATTACAATAGAAATAATTACGGTGTGTAAATCAATAAATACAGTATACAATAAAGAACTACTGTTCTGTATATAGAGTACAGCAATGAGGCGTTCGGATTAGTGGACGTTCGGATTACAGGGGTTCGGATTAAAGAGGTTCTACTGTAATATGAATACTTGTGAGCTATTAATCAATTATTTATTTGATTATCATAACTCATTGAAATTCATTTAAACATTTAAAGCATTTAATAGGTATAAGGTATCATAGCTTGAGGGGAGGGTAAAATAATATTGTAACTAGAACTACAGTTACAAGTTAAGGTACCTATTATAAATATTTTGTAAAATTAGAACTAAAAATATTTCTTCAGTACAAAGACAGTAAAAATTGCTACTCAATATCTGTCAAGTTGTCAAATTTATACAAAATACTACCATTTTGTCATTTTACAGTAATATTACCATATTTGATTTCATGATTGCAAATATATCAGTATTGTCTACACTTTTTTTGTAAACAAACCAAGTACTTTAATAAATCAATTAAGTTGCCAAATAAGAATGATTTTTTTTTGTCCTAGGACGCTATGCACGAGCCTGGGATTGATTTTCACATTACTTCAGACTAGACTTAGGGATGCGGCATTATCACTTAGATAAATTCCGTTGGTGACTTGGCGGGGATCGAACCCGGGACCTCAGGGACTGAAGTCCCGCGCTCTAACCACTATGCCAGCTCGCTCCCCGAAAAATAAGAATGATTGGCATGAAAATTTAACTATAGCAACAATTGATATTCTAGTCTAGTAGACATTCCTACCTCTTTGGTCTCAGGCTCGGCTGCACGTAGGAGGTCACTGAAGGCAGTGCACAACTTGCGTGCTGCATCCAGAAGTTTGTCTCCGTTGTCTTCATCGTCCATGAGTGCTGCAAGCATGCGGACACCTCGCGACATCTCCGGCAGATTGCTGGTGATGGTTGTGATTGCGGCACCTACGGCCGTGTGGTCTACCTCGTCCACTGACCCTGCGCGAAACAACGGTAAAACAGTATACATCCTACTACCATTTACAGTATCAGATTAGTATTTAATTGGTTTAAGTTTCATCAAAAGTAAATTTATGTGCCTATGTTCCTTAGATGTTTTTTATCGAGGTGAGCTCAAGTTAAGCTTATAGATCAAGTTTGTACCTCAAGCTTTTTTAAGCAGAGTATTTAGATATAATTAACACAATTTTTTTGATCAGAAATGCATTTTACTCTCTTGAAGAGTTGTACGATTTAATTGATGTGAATTCTGATGCTACATAACTGCAAATTTCATAACTGAACAATTCAATGCAATGTACTGAGTTAGATTAAGGAGCTGTGACACTATTTATTGTATTGCTGTTCATGAAACAAATAAAGAAGTTTTGAATTTGAATATCATCCAAGTGTATGAAAGTCAAAGTTACTTCTAACAACATGCATTTTAATATTATTATGAAGAGTCATATATCAAGGAAACACACACGGTAGAAAGATGATTATCCAAAATAATCAGGGATCGGAGGTGTTCTGGTAGGTATCTTATTTTTGAACAATCGTCAGGGGAAAAGAATCATAATATTTGTACTTGAACTAATGATCTTAAATTTTTTTTTTGATGTTTACATGTATGTTTTATTGGTTTTTTACCATTTATTGGTTTCTTTTAATTAATCTACTATCTTAACTGTCAAGAAAATTTTGTAATAGCATCACAGATTTTTTTTTATGTAGAATCATTGGGATTTCCAACAACTTATTCAGGAGCTAACTGGATGCGTTAGTATATTATATAACTGCTCTAAAATCTTAAGTTTTTAGGCAGTCCAAAATAAAAGCACTAAGCACTAAGTGTTTACGTTTAGATTATAGATGACTGTTACAGGGTGCAAAAAACTGTAAACTTCTTAGAATCCTCCTAAAAATCTCATTATTCAAAATCCTACCTGAGGTGAGAGTGACGACTTGAGCAGTGGCAGCGTTCATGGCAGCCAACTGGGAGCTCACATTCTGCTTGTTGGTGTCCAAAGTTGTCTCTTTCCATTTTAGCGATGCCTGAAATAATTCATGTATGAGTTAATACCTAAAACATATAATGTGGTGCATAAACATATCCTTAAAATATACATGTAGGGAGATCTTCAGTAACAAATAATAAACATTGAAGTGAAACTATTTGTTATTACTTACTTTTATTTTTACATAATAATTCTAAGAGACAAAAAATATTCAATTGCCTGAATAGTGTAAAATAAAAAATGTTATTATATCATCTTAGTATAGATTTTTTATATTTATTTCTGATTTATTTAGCTTATATTTATTTACTGATGAATTTAATTTGTTGAATTACATGTCGCTACATCATATAAATGACAGGACATATTTTTCACACAGTTTTCCATACAAAAACAACTGTACTTACTAGTAATTTAAAAAAGAAAAAATCTAATTTACCCTGCAAAAATTGAGTTAGGTGGAGTGGATAGGTTAATTCCAACAACCACAATAGTCTGCCAATGAATAACATTAGGCCTATTCTTGGGCAATATTTTAGGGAAAACCTAAAATGTTGAAGGATATTGATCCCATTAAGTTTGTACCTTCGGTAACCGGGAATTCTTTTTCGACAACCTATAGGCCCCATATCTGCTGTATCAGGATCGGCCAGTACAATTAATTATTAGATAACTTAGGTTTTTCAAACAAGAGTGATTCTTACAGGGTCAGTGCCTAGTTCTGGTATCTCAGCTCTGGTGATTAATTCTTTCTCAATCGTTGTGATCACTTGGTGACCTGCGGTGATCGTAGACAGCAGTGCTCTCTGTGGCTCAGACAAAACACTTGTAACTTGACTCTGTTGTACCTGTAATCACCAAAAATGTACAGTACACGTATTAAATCGTTACTCTTTAGTGCCTTTGATAATATTGATGTTGTGTTGAATGGAGTCAAAAGAATAATTATCGTTATTTGTGACAAAATACGACATGAAATGACACGTTTTGGATTCAGGATAAATTAGTTATTTATATAAGTTGTATGGATTTGGTAATTTAAAATATATTGTAAAAGATGTCGGGAAAAATATTGCAAACTATAATTAATGAAATGACAGTGACAGCAATGTGTTCATGATATAATGCAAGATATAAATAAAATTGAGATTAAAAAGCATGAAAAATAAAAATATGGCATACAATTTATCCATCTCCTACCTGGCAGCATCAAAAGTAAGCAAAATATAGAAACAATTAATCTCCAAAAAATTGTAATAACACATTTTTTTTAGTTTTCAATAGCTTATTTGGTTTAACTATCAATTTCATGTAAAGCTCTTAGAGAGTAATTACACATTCATGTAAGATTTATGTGTACGTTTTGAACAAAAACTTGATTGATTTCAGTAATACTGTAGACCCCCTCTTAACCGACCCTAATGGGACCGGACCTAGGTCGGATAACTCAAAAGGTCGGTTAAAACGGGCAATCCTTAAAATCATAACATAATGAAAATGAAGTGCTATCCATTTGGAATTATAAAATCATTATTTTGAAGTCATACTTGAATTATTTATAAAATAAACTACTCTTATCTCCTTTTTCGTATTGATAGAAAAGTCACAAATAAACACAAAACACGGTTAAGTCAAATAGGCCTACTTTCAGTGGAATATATTATAATACTAGGCAAGAGTCAATAAAAATTCCTATTTTAATAACTTTAGTACTGTAATGTATTAATTGATGCTTTCCAAATCCATCGTAATACAGTACAGAACCTTTTGTCAAAATTAAAGATACAAGCAATCATTTTGTTACAAGACAGGATGTTTATTTATAGACTCTCACTGGAGGCTCGAGGCACAAAAACTATCTTGATCTTGGAGTTGTTAACCCCCCTTCCCTGGCCTCCCTACAAGTTGCGTTGTTTGTTTACTCAGCGATAAGATAATTAGTTCTCAAAACTGAAACGCAGTTTATGATGTTATAAATTTGCCGCACGGATAACAAATCTGATCAGATGTGCTCGCGCTACACCGATTATGACAAACTGACAATTGGCTATGCTATATTTTTTGTGATCAATACAAAATAACTTATTCTTAGTCATATCCTGTGGAGATAAGCGTATGGTTCAGTTCTCATCGCCCAGTGTGGGAGCGGAAATGCCGAGATTCCTAGAAAGCGGCGGTTAAACCGAACTGCTCTCAAAGCAAGGTCGGTTAAAACAAACTGTATTATTTTACGATCGAAGGCGGATAATCCGATTACACGAGGTCGGTTAAGAGGAGGTCTACTGTAGTAGTTTTTGGAAGTTGCCAATAACACTATTGTTTAGATTTTCAAAATCGAGTGAAGAAATAACTAAAATGTAAAATAAAAGTTTAATTTTACAAGTAGACTTTTAGGAAATAAAATCCTTAAAATTGTGTTACTCTTAACAGGCATTGGGAATCAATTAATTTGATGCCTTATTTGTAGGTGGATGTAATCTGCAAGCATGCAGTGTATATCGTATCCATACACCTAGAAACAGAATACCAACACATATTCTCTACACAATCTCTAAAGTAAGTGACGTATATTATTGTTGTTCACAGCTAAGGTTTCTTCTGCTTTGTTGAAGTCATACAAAATATTAAGATTATCATAACTCTTCACTTATTCAAAAGCCTTTCTAAGTAAATCAGCAACATTTGCAACAGTTTAATGAAGACTAGCAAATGGTAAGTATAGCTTTGAAAAGATAAAAGAAGCAAGAGGTTTCTGTACCTACTCTGCTCCACAAGAAGTTGTCATCGTCTAAAGCAGCATGAAACAAATAAAGTATGTTTAACAGTCTAAAATTAAGAAATCAAACACACTGCCTCACCCCTTCTGCAGACTAAGGATCCAAGGATAAGAGAAACAGGAATATGGTTGATAAGGAAGTTAATTATTGTTTGGATTTTTAGACAAAATATCTTCCATATTTCCAAGAAAAGCTTGAATATAATAATAGTGATCTGGTTGAATATATCTATAACAAAAAAAGCTAATAAACCAAATCAGATACAGGGAACGACCATATATGACGATTTCAATTTTTGGGGCGTGTGTTTGGGTCTGAATAGAATATATCCAATATTTACAACATTTTTGTATGTAGAATATGTTCTAGCAAATTTATATTATTATTATATTTACCAAAAGGTTTCTTAATCACAGACTTGGAATCGTACCAACCTTAATTATCCTGTATTTAACTCAGTCAACACCTGTTAACTGTATTTTCCGATTTAATTAGCTGGAACAATTACTATATTATTGACTGTATGTATAAACATAATTTATTTTTACCTTTAGTTTTTACCAAATCTTGGCTTTAAGCATAAGTGGAAAAATAGTACGTCACTTTTGATGTGGAGATATATTAATGTTTAAGGTTTGAGGTAGCAATCCTCTCAAACTTTGCTAACTTGCTAAATTTTGCTAACTTGTAGTGATTTATCAATACCAAAGTCATTTCCTAAATACAGGGTGCGGCAGAAAAACCGATCTATTTTCTGCAGATCACTGTTCAGAGACAGGTCGTCCGAGAGTGGTGGGAGTAGGCTCGTTGGAAAGCCTACACAATGCCATTTTTTGTAGTCATAGAGCAGTGGTTGCCTGAGCTAGTGCGGTTGTTATGGAGTAGTTTTTATTAAATAGTGAATTCATTCATTGCTACTCAGCGGCAGTTTCATGTATTCTTTCAATTAAGGCGAGATGGAGAAATTCCGTTGCGTAGCACAATAATGCGGTGTGTTACTTACTTTAGGATAACGGCTTCTGCGTTGAAAGGAAGCTGACAGGCCTTCCACAGTCAGATCGTACGCCAGACAAAAAACATTCGATAGAGTTTGTGCTGCTGTGGAAAACAGTCCTTGTAGGCCCGCGCGAAAACAAGCGGCTGCCTTGAACATGTCTGACCGCTCAGTTATACGAATTTTGAGGTTAATTTTCATCCCTATGGATTAAAAAAATAATCTGTATAATTTTGTAACCATCAATACAGATAATCACGACGGAACCTCTCTATGTCGACCTAATTGAATAAAAGCACGGAACTGCCACTGAGTTGCAATGATTAAATCATTACTTTTAAAAAACGACTCGATAACAACCACGCGTAGCTCATACGACCACTGCTCTATGACTAGAAAAAATGGCATTGTATAGGCTTTCCAACGAGCCTACTCCCACCACCCTCAGACGACCTGTCGCTGAACAGTGCGCTGCAGAAAATGGTTCGGTTTTTTTGCCGCACCCTGTATTATAGTTGACTCATGGAAAAATGAATAGAAATACACAAATAATTTAGTATTCAAGCGCCAAAAATTTTAATTGAGACTATTTTTGTCTCTTACTCTAAAGTGGAAAATGATGATTTCTAGGTTTGCATGGCACCTGTTTTCTTTGATTTTGTTAAGCTACAAGGATTGTGATTATTTTCTTTTTATTCTAAGTTTTTATTTTTTATGTTCAAATTTAACACTATGAAATGTACCATCGAAAAATATACTAAGATCAAAATTAATTGCTAGGTGTATTTTAATTGCTTAACTTTGAAAGGATTTCAACGAGTAACAGTAAAAAAGGAATAGCGATCATTTTAGGATTCAAAATACGCCAATTTCAGTTAATCTTATAAGCTCTCATAGCTATAAGGGGTATAAACAAATGACAGCTGCTTCCTAATTATTCTGTCATTAATTAAGTTCTTTAAATCCTCTGGCAAGGGTTTAGGCAACTTTAAATAATCACCTATCTATACAAGAACATAGGTTTAAAATCATAGAACACAAGTTAAACTCTGAATACACGACAATGAGAAATATATCGGCATATTACAATTGCATGACATGCTGTTGTGGGAAAATACATGAACTAAGAGTGCAAGGGTGTCAACTAACACAGATCTAGCTAGCTATGTGTGAGAGGTGGGTTTTGATGTACAACACAATAAAAATGAACATTCATTGCTTCTACTTTTGCTTTGACCAACCACTAGGTTGGCTTGTCAAACTTTGCTTACTGCCTCATATCTTACAAAACAGGGGGAAGAACTAGGAAGAATTGAATACCAAATTCTATTTTTTGGGATGGATTTTTAATATTGTAATCAGGTTATAGCAGTTTTCTTGTGAACATTTTTTTTACTGACGTTTTTTAACGGGTGAACGAACAAAAATACAGGAGGTCTGAAAGGAATGAACCATTGAAAGCTTTTTATCATATACAAAATTAATTACTGTGTGGTTTTTAAGGAAGAGAAGCCCAACCCTCCAGGACAGGAATCCCGCAGACTAACCAATAGGCCAGCCACTCCCTATATACAAAATAGAATCCAAGGATAATTTATTTGTACCAACAATAATAAAAACTAAAATATCCAATCACATAAAATGTTTGGAAATTAATACAGCTGTGCCTAGTTTAAAATTCAATAACTTAAATTTATGTAACAAAATCATGGAACCAGGTTTTCATAATAATTTTTGTAAAAGATGGTTCCAAAAGATTGTTTAACCCTAGGGCCTATCTTATAAAAATCATTGAATATTTAAGGAGAAGTGGGGGAGGCTGTCATCCCTGACACAAAACAGACTCGTAAAAGCAACAGTTTAGCTCAGGCTTGACAGCAAATTGATTTCAAACCAAGAATAACAGCAAAAAGTTAGGAAGTCCAGAAAACCTACAAGATTTTTTAACTAATATATTTAAGTTTAAACCCTAAACTCAGGCTTCTACAATACACAAATGAAAAAGTAAGTACAAAACACTGCTCCTTTCAAAATCGCCAACAATAAAGCAATGAAAACATGACAGGGATATTTTTTAAACCAAAGATGGCCGTTAAAAGAAGAACAAAAAACAGGAATTGACTACTTTCTGCAACTCATTTTTCAAGAAACACAAAACTGACAGAAAAGCAGAAACCAAGAATACACTGAAAAACAAGTGACCAAGGATGCAAACCTATGATAGGTCGTCAAAACATCAATTGGCTGGCAAAAATGACTGACAAACTGGCACATTTTATAAACAAGACACACACACAGGTTCTTATGGCCTTACCCAAGAAATATAAGAGATCATTTGATTTAAGGATATTCAATGGTAGTGCGGTTTTGTAAAGAAGAATGACAGGAAAGGAGGTATGGTGGGATATGCCAAAACACAGACCAATCAATAAACAATTTTAGTTATGGGGGCAGTCGTCAAGATGATAAGACAATGTAAAGCTCGAGGAACTCTTGACACCACAAGACTATAACAACCAACTTTTAAGTAACACCTAACCTACATCATTAAGATCAAACAACAGGATATACAACAACAACACCGAACAAATACAAAACTCTGTTGTCAAGTCTGTCACAACATCACAACTTACAGAAAACATGCCATCCAAACCAAAAGAAAGTAGAAGAATGTTCACACCTTTAAATCAAGGTTTCAAACTCAATACTCGGATTGTATTTACAAAACATAAAATATAAATGAATCCTACGACTTCACCCTAACGACCTACCAGACCAACTGGGTAATTCCTGCAAAACTACAATGTAAGCAGATGACAGTAGTAACTATACAAATTAAAAGACATTTTTAGCCTTCTTGCTGGTACAACATTAATTTAAAAGAAAATAGAACTAAAGAATACTGTAACAACACTAAGCTCAGCGTAGTGAACTGAATGCCCTATCTGCCAATATCTGTGACTGTGTAAGATGTTCACGAGTTTGACATAATCTTGGAAGATTTTCACGGCCGTGACTGCAGCTGTTCAAGATTTCGTCATGAACATAGACATGTTCACAATTTATTGGAGACCGTGAAAGATGTATGTATGTATACCATACTGAATAAAAGTCAAACCGAAAATTAACTATATTATTGAAAACTAAGATGTAGGGGTCTGCGGTACAGAAAATTTAAGGTCCGTACGGTTCGGTACGGTACAATATTTTGTACCTCGGTTCTCGGTACAAAATCGGTACGGTACGCGGCTACCCGTATTTTTGCGGTTTTCTTCTCAGAAATGTATTTAAACCATTATTTTTAACTTTAATACATTGACATTACTATGAAAATGGATAGTATCCTACATTCATGGTTTTCTAACAACAATTACTGTACCACACATTATTAAAACAAAACCTTTTACTACTACGAGGATTGTGTCAAGAGAAATCACAGTTACGATAAAGGCTTTACCTATTTTACACTGATATGCTTTGAATAGCCATGATAAAGTGGTTTCGAAATTAGGATAAGAGTTTTTAGGAATAAACATGTTTGAAACATTTATTGATAAGATGATTTCACACAACTGGTTAAATTATTTCTAACCAACACAATATCTAGTTGTTTTTAAATGTTTAAAAACATATAAAAGCATTCAGTACGAAGACAGTGTAGTTGCCAGCTGCTCACAGCAGACGCAATGAAAAACTGGAGGTTATGATGAAGTAATGGCAAAGAGCATCTTTTTTTATCAGCTTCAAAACTAATTATAAGATGGATACAACTCTTGTAAAGTTTTTTTCTGAAACTAATATTTGGATTATCACAGAGTAAGATTATTTTCTTTTCATTTACAAAGTTAACATCCACACATATCAATCATTAGTTTATCTCAGGCTCAATCCAATTTTCTTAGTATTTTAAAGCTCTTCCAAAGAATCAAAAGACCCAGGCCTAGACCTAATTATTTAGGAGGGCCTATATATAAATTGATTAGGTTACAATGAGGGTAGCAAAATCACTATCTAGTTCATAAGATTTAGATTGCATAAAGTACCTTCAACACAATAAAAAATACAGGAAACTAAAAAAACATTTAGGCCTTAAACAGCCACATCTAACAATACAAGACAAGATACAGAACATGCAATGACATAATTTGAGACCGAGTAGGCTTGCATAACGAAAAAAAAAAATGATGCAAACAACAACAACTATGCTTGTGGTTTCGTCAATAGAAAGATAGAATATCTATAACAGATATTTTTACTTATAAAATAAGATTGTAGATTAGTTACAAGTTTAATATGTAGCCATAAACAGTTTTATGGTAGTAGGAAATGGCCAGCGGCAAATTGAATATTCACGAAAATACTGACTGAGTTAGAGATAACATTTAACAGTCATCATAAAATTATTATTTTTATGATAAAATAGAATTAGGGAAAGTCGTAAAGAAATAAAAGTGATAAAACTCAACAGTTCTTGGAAGTACTTGAATACAACAATTCTTGTCGTGATAAAATGTCAATGATTTGGGACTGCTAATGGGTTTTTTATTGCAGTAAACTGAAAGTAATTTATTATTAAAATAGGCTGAACCGAATTTGTACCGGTACCGAACCGATGACGGTAATTAAGCTCGTACCGTACTGACTTTTTCGGTGCACCGCAGACCCCTACTAAGATCTAAACGTAACATTATCAGGAATAAAAGATAAACCTAAATTGAAATACCTTGGCATAATTATAGACACCAAACTCGCATGGCAGCAGTGTTTAAAACACCACACAAGAAACTCAGCACCATCTAGATAATTACAACAATTATGCACATAAGTGATCTAAATGCACCAAAAACTGATTAGGCCTACTATTTATAGTGGCTTAACACGTTCACTGCGGGCGTATCCGATCGGATACGGGCCAAGCGCTGTCCAGGTGCTGCCTTAACCGATCGGATACGCTCGGCAATGCCTTTCGTATATCATCGTTTTTGCTCTAGCGTCGGTCGAAGGCAGACCTATTCCACGTTAGCGTGTAGTGGGTGACTTGCTTTTTGTTGTTTTGTAGGTTGGTAGTAAAATTTTCCCATAAAATCCCCTTCTGGCAAACTTAAAAATCAACTTGTTGTCCCGTCTTTCTCCCTCCAATTGGCAATACGATGGGACCGGCTACGTTCCAAGCAGTGCTGCTATCTGTGAGTGTTTAGCGAACTACGTCGACTCTTGTTATAAAACAGGACATCACCGCTTGTTATTTGCTATTCGTCATACCGAAATATGAGAGCCAATCACCCGGCAATCGGGATTGTTCGACGCTGCGGGCTGCGCCGCACTGGGGCTACGCCTGCCATTTGATGGCCCGCGGCGAACGTGTTAAGTAAACTAGCAATACTATCCTGAGGAGAGAACACTGTATCAAAAAAGACAATATATGATTCTTAGCACGACCCAAAATGCATTAAAACTGTTGAGATTAAATGAAAAAACTAACATTGACGTTCCACTAAAAAGAGTCAATACTTCATGCAGAATCCACACATCAAATAAAAATTAAATATCTACACCTCGATCACACAAGTAGCCTAGAATTTAGACCGCCCTGAACAACTCAGCTAACAAAGGTTTGCTGTTCAGAACCAACTACCAGACAACCTCAAGATGGAACAAGCTTACAATATGAAGAAAACCCTGACAGTGTGGTTACAAAACAGAACCTTCTACAGAGAGGATCAATTTATACTGGATTGTGTAATCTGCCTCATTGTACTTTCCTAAAAAAATATGTCAATAAAGTATATTGTCTAATATCTTAAGTTTTGGCTGCATGAAGGATAACAACACATGAGGGGATGAACCTATTGAGACTGGAAGGTGAGTTAATGTCGTGGGGGGGGGGGGGGGGCAGTGTGCAGGTGGGAGGGTGAGCTTACCGTGGACGGAGAATGAGCAATGTTGATCTGCCCAGAGACTGTGGTGTATTGGGCTCCTCCCATATGTCCCATGTTGTACGGCTTTGCACCTAAAACACACTTCTATGCTACACAACATGCCACGCTATGTACACTGAACACTTCAATAGGTTATGGGGAACTGTTCAAATGTTTGCCTACGAGCGTTGTTTAAAGTAGCCGTTTCAGTTCAGTTCTTAGAATTGAAAAGTTTCACATAACAGCATGGTTTTACTTAACAACTCACCCGAGGTGCAGATTATTATTAACGGACCAATGAGGTTGAGAGAGAAGAAGAAAAATTTTAATGCTTCGAACTTCAGCTAATCAGCAGTTTTACCAAATTAATTGTTAACGATTGGTGCAATTAAAATATTGGTACAATGAGTTGTTGCATCGTTGTCAGTGGCAATGAGAGGTTATAAACGAAAACATAACCTCTCTTAGAAGTTTTGAGTAGTGATTATTATTAATTAAAAACCGGTCGTAGATAAAGTAGTGAACGCAACTTGCGTAAATAGTGTCAACGACACTTTTAAAAGTCTTTAAGGCACTCGCCTTTAAGGCTCGTACCTTAAATTTTCTACTTGTGTCTATAACACTATCTTTATGCAGTTGTTGCGTAAATTACTAAAATATTATTTCATATCGTGATGAAAAGCAATTGAATTTAATTTGACCGAATGTTCAAAGACAGTGATGGAGGGAAAATTAAGTTTTCCAAATCAGTTTAATATTTCTAAATTCAGCTGTGGTATTTTCACCTTGACACACAATTGATACACCAAAACGGAGAGCTTATCCCAGACTGTGCTCGCTTACTATTGGTTTATCTTTCACTGCCTTCTTGCACTAGTTCAATTAGAAATCAACTCCTATAATAAGAGATAATATTTAATTTTTACCAGACATATGTTTGTGCTCACTGAAATAGATAACAGAACACACTTGTTTAACTGTTACAATTCTTCAAGAATGTTAAGGTGTTGATTTCTTTGAAACATATTTACTCTTGTAATAATTTAACATTTATTTTAAGTGTCGTCCCCTGTGTATTTCTTTTTTTGTGTTTGTTTGGAATTGTTTGCTTTACCGGATACTTTTCAATTCAGCATTTCCCAGGTTATTACGGATTGTGTTCACAGAATGTTAAGAATAACTTTAATTATGGTTATAAGATTCACAGATCATAAAACTTAAAGAGTCTTTGGTAAGTTATTATTTTTGTTGAGTACTACCGATAGTGTTACAAATACATCTCTATGCATTTACAAATATATATTTCAGGTCTCAAGTTTAATGAGAATAAGTTTAAAAATACTTTCTGTTTCAAGTAATTCAATGACTTGCTATATATATTATTCTGTTGTAAAACACTGGTACTAAAACTCAGTAATTATGTACAGAAAGTTTACAAGTTTATTAACAAAACAAAACTGAATGTGCAGCAACAAATTTCACAAACACATAAAGGTGATATATACACTGGTAAAGCTTAACATTGGTGCTTTTACACACAAAGAGAAAAAATTGTGCAATAAAGTTATCACACAAGAAATTATTCATCAAAGTGTATGTATTTTATACAGGTTCATGCAGATTACAAGTTTGGAAGAATACTCTTATTTTATCTTTCTTAACTTCTAGCCAATACTTAATGCTGTTTGATGCCTTAATTTAGGACTAAGAATGTAACTTGTTTAGAGAAAAAAAATTTAAATAATTACGAGGTGTTTAATTTGGACCTTGAGATGAGTCCATGTGGTGATTTAGTCACCTCTTTACTAAGGTTTTTTGGGTCTCCAATATTTTATGGTCGGATCGGACTAACAGTTGGGCAAGAGATCGGTTCGGGCCAAAAATGATTATCGGGCCAAGTTGGGTTGAATTGAGCTGAACAAATATCCAGAAAGCGTTAGTGAAAATTTACCATTTCGTAGCGATCATTGAAGGTGATGTTCACGGTAATGTTGCGATGGATCCACAATGATGTTGCCGTGACCACGAAAGATGTTCTCAATTGTACTGCTACTGCCAAAAATGTTCTTGATTCCCAAGGAAAGTGTTAACGATTTTGCCATGACCGTGGAAGATTTTACAATTTGCAATGACTGCAAAAGATGTTCAAGATTTCACCGTGAACACAGATCATGTTCACAATTTATCTGTGACTGCGTAAGATGTTCACGATTTTGATAATAACCTTGAAAGATGTTCACGGCCGTGACTGCAGAAGCTGTTCAAGATTTCGCCATGAACACAGACATGTTCACAATGTATCGGAGACCGTGAACAATTTTCACGATTTTGCCTTAACCTTAGAAGATGTTCACGGCCATGATTGTGGAAGCTGTTGAAGATTTCACCATGACCGCAGATGATGTTCTCGATTTTACCATGGTCCACGGCAAAAATGTGAAATAATTCCCGGTTTTCCCGGAATTTCCAGTCTATGAACCCAGTTTAAAAAAATATTCAATACAAAAAAAACTATGGTTTTTCCATTACTGCTTCAAGTATAAAACATTAAATTGCCTGATTTCAACTACAAACTATCTGTGGCCGTATCAAAAAATGTATGTCTTATATTGACTTTATATTGAAAACAGTGACTTTTCCTTCTCTAACTCCTCATTAAATCATGAGCAGTACAAATCCTGATTTAAGATTGTATAAAGTGTCTCACCATCGGTAGCCCTCATGATGGCAGGTTTGGCGACTGATTCTGTGTTTACTTTCGCTACTCTGCTCGTTTCATGTTGTAAGTAAGTCGCCCTGAAACAATCAAAATTTTTTTTAAATCTGTGGAGAAAATTTTTGAGTAAATCTCACGACACTACATAGTAATTTTATTTCCTTTCGAGATTAACAGATATACTTTAAAGTTATAAGTAGTCAATCCAAAATTACTGTAATAAATTTGAAAGTAACCATCCGAGTGAAAGAAAATGCACTCGACACGCAATAGGGTGAAAGATGAAGTGGCCTTAGTCCTGAGAATGTTGTTAACATGTCAGGTAAATTCATGTTGTTCATTGTACTTTTTAAACAGTTTCTGGTTTTAATATTTCAATAACATAGACATTAATTAACAATAAGGTAATGTTCTTTGACACCAACAAAAGGTATCGTATTACTCTTGGTTTTTGATTACTGTGAAATGTGTGTGTATGTGTAGGGGCTTTCCTGACTCACATGTAAAGGGGAGTAAAAAATTCATGACTGGAGTCCAAACTTATCTATTTTATTTCACGTGAATATCAGTTAATTGATTTTATAGCTACCCTACAGTGTTTTGTACAATGTGTTGAGTTTCAATATAGATAGTTTTAGAGCAAATAAACTATCAGTTAAGTATATCCTAGCAAATTGAATATATACAGTTTTGTATGTGCATCAGTGCAGGTAGCATCAAATTTTTGCCTCATTTGAATCAAACGAAGCAGAATTTTAATAACTTACTGTCATAGAAAATATTATGGGTATGTAACTATTTCATTCAGTAGATTTTAAATACCACATTATTCTCTTCTGTGTCCTCTCCCCTTTGGGAAGCACAGGTATAGATGCTGGTAAAACAATAAAAATATGATATATGTTTAACAACCTTTTGTATGCTAACAAAAACAGATGTAATAAAATATTTTGTTTTAGATTGAGGGGTGAGACTTACTTGAGGGGTGAGACACTGTCTTCAACCATGGTAGACCCTTCATCTCCTTCAATGCCGAAATGGTCCTTGGACTGTTTCTAAAAGAGTAAAAATAAATATAAATATACCCTTTGATGAGCCACTGTGTAAAATTAAAAGTTAAACATTTATTTATTACACTTCACTTAATGAGCATAAACATTTTAATATGAAAATACATTTTCAGAAAATGTATAGTTGATTAGCAAAGGTCTCTCTACTTTTATTCCATGAACAAATGTAAATTTGCAAAACTTAACCCTTACCAGATAACACATGTAAACTGATAAATAGAAATTTGCCAAACCTTTGCGTAAGAGATATAATATAAACATTCATCAAATTCAAAGAAAAAGAACAAACAGTTCTGGCTTATGAATTATTTTATACAGTGTTTCTCCTATGAAATCAACATATTTAATAAATAGACTTAGAATGTCAAATTGATAGAGTCTCTATGAACTGTTTCAAAAGTGATGAGAAAGCTGCAATTTTTACGGACTGTCGGTTAGTGATTATTTTCTGCTTTAAGTTTATAAAATTACCACCCACTTTATAGTTTAGCCTAAGCCACAATAATGATCATTTTCAAAAGTAACTAATCAAAAATATTTGCAGTAATCCTTTAACAACAATAAGAAATAGTTATTCCTAAACACTCATCATAACTATGTAGTGTTTAACGCTTGTTCTAAGGGTGCAGTAGAAAAACAGTATTAGCTATCATAATCATTAATTTGGTCTCAAGTTCATTTATTATGTCATCATGACTATAATCCATAATCACCACACTATCATGATCATTCCCTATCACTGTGAAATCTCAGAAAGTCCCCTGCGATTGAGAGGATATCATAATAGTCTCCCGGCATTACCTCACAAAATATGCATGCAATATGATGGCAATGATTTCATCATCATCTCCTCAGTTGCAGAAAAATCTTTCGCATAAAAACAATGTAGCCTACAATTTTACAAAAGGGGAGAATTTTATAAACAGTTATAGGGGGAAGAAATCTTGTAAGCTACAAAGTGAAAATTAACTGAGGAGAAAATGACAAACAGCTCCTGGCCTATTTTGTTTAGGACAAACACAAAAGTTAGTACTTAAGTTAATACTTTTTTATTAGTAACTTTCTTGAATAAAAATTACACTATTTCCAAACATATATAGGATATAAATTACTTAAGAATATTTAATCAGAGTTATTCGTCTAATTCATATTCAATTTACCTTCTTCAGGATTATGTCTATGTATCCAGCAATGAGCTGTAAGATTTGCTCCGCCTCTGTAGTCTGTACGGAGTAATATTGGTCAGAGTAATCGCCAAAGTCTAAGGTGAATGTGTTGGGAGACGCTCCCCACCGACGAACTGTCGTCAGCGGCCACGTCTTGAGGATCTCTTTCGTCTTTTCATCCAACCGCAACACAGAGTCCTTGGTAACCCCCAATAACCGCGGGACCAACTTATTCTTGCCCTTCATCTTTTCCTGAAATAATATTTATCAACATGTGATACAAGTGTTAAGAGTTTTTCAATATTAGTGAAAGGTGTCCAATTTTAAGTTTGCGGCATATATCAGACCTTCAGTGGCTTGGAGTGAGTATAGGCATAGCCTAGGATCCCTTACCAATATTATAGGTTAACCAGCTAACCTAGGTGATAACCATAACAGGCTGTGTGATACGCTCAGTTGTTTAACAGAAAGTAAAGTTATTTGAAGTGCTTAAGCCTACAAGTATAGTTTAGGACGGTGTAAGGGGTGTTATTTAGGCAAGTTACAAAATATTATAAAACTTTATATTTTTTTATAGTTTCATAAATATTTGGTTCTTTAGTTAACAATTGAAGCTAAATATTTACCTTCACCAAGAAGAACGTGACCCCATAAGTCTTGAGAGATCTGGCGGTCTTCGTGTATAAAACTTTTGCGTCCAATTCTGATAAACCTACATGTTTAGCATGCTCAGTGAAGACTTTCTTCTCGATTCCTTTCACTTTGACGTAAGATTGTGGCAGGAATTCCTTCAAACTGGTAACACATAACACAAATTACATCCATGATAGTATGCAACAGTCAACCCCTTAAGTTTAGTGATACCGTAGGTAAAATTCAAATTTCCAATCCACCAAATTTATTGGTAAAATTTAAAATTCAAGATCAGAAAAGCTTAAAATTACCATAACATTGTCAAGATTGTCATTCTCGATGGTTGTGTTGACAGCAATGGAATCCATGTTTTTAAAGCAACAAAAGAGAATTTTGAAGGTTAAAAATGTATATTCCAACACAATTTGTAGTTTTATTATTGTAACACAAAACTACATAAAAGAGTGATTGGTTGTTTTTTTGTAGATAATGTCAAATTTTCTATCAGAAAAAAAATATTTTTAAGAAACGTTGCATTTTACTTTTAAAATATAACACTTGAGTTTTTATTCCTCACATTGAGTTACAAATCTGACAAGGCATGTTTTTCAAAGTCATACAAATACTAGTTCTAACTTTAGATCTATTTAAAGCTCAATTTAATGTTACATTTGGTTTTAGGTTGTTGGTACATTAAAAACAAAAAGTGTTAATTTCTACTGGTTAACATCAAACTTACTCGAGGAATGGGGGTTTATGTTTGGCCTCATTATAATCCCCAAACTGAATGTGAGCTTGAATTCCTGCAAGCTGACAGGCCACCTGGAATGAAATGTTAATTGAAATTCCCAACATGTTAACAATACATAAATCAAAACATTTCACATAATTGTCTAACTGATGCATTCAACAATTTACAAATACAATTTACAAATTGCTTGCGATTGCAATTACTACAGGGGAAAATAAGGCCTATGTTATTCCATGGAATGGTTTTCATAAAAAGCAAATATGTTTGTTCTGCTGCTCTTGTAACAGAGTTATTTGTATATTTTTAAAGTCTATAAATTCTTTTATACTGTAATTTCTGTTATGAAAAAATATTTCCGGTATTTTACTCTATATACAGTATTTGATTTATCCTTTAACAGTATTTTTTCATGATAATCAAGATAAACTTAACAATGTGCAATAAATACATAGATTTTGTTATAGTCAATTGTGTATCGTTCAAAAGATAAAAGGGTTTTATAGATTGAAGTTATACCTAAATATCCACAAATATTTGTGTAGCTGATTTCTTGCTTACATAACATAAGGTGGTATAACTATGGCATATTGTGGCAGTTTAAAACATTTAAAGTCATATTTCTCAGTGAGAATAGAACATAAAATAGTTTACAGAGAATTAATAAACATGGGTCAGAATCTCAAAGTACCTCTTGTGTGATGGGATGAGTACCGTCCAAAATGGCGTCCCTTGCCTGTACATACAACAGGTTTAGTTGGACTGGGTCGCGAGAGTCAATGTTCTGGTCAGAGAAGAAGAATTTGCGTTTTAGCAAAACTGGCTCTGACTCATCAATGCCTTGTTCTCTCAGCGTCTTCGAAGGATCAATCCAGTTCACTGTAAACAAAAAATATAATTTAACAACAATTAGTGAATTTAGAATCTTCCACTTACTGTGACACTTAAACATTATTTTTCTATAAAAATAAATATGAACATTTTTTTAGATAAAAAGGAGTTGAACAGTTATATTGGTTGATAGTGAAAACCCTTTCATCGAAACTTCATATCTAAAAAGTGTTAATAAACGCAAGTGTGTGAATAGCTTGTGAATATTGTTTTCTAAAAATATTTTAAAATCTTACTAATTCAAACAAGGTTACTGTCTTGGTTTAGTTCCATTAATAGCAATACTGTTTTGATTTAGATACATTAACACACTCACGCTAAAGAATTGTTTCAAATTGTCATTAGACTTTTATTAACGCTGAAGCTTTACTTTAATAACCACAGTAGATTCTCCCAGAGAAATATTATTTTAGAATTTAAAGTGTTACAAATACCTTCATCATCTGTTTTCAGCTTTTTTCTTAACTGCTCCATCTTCGCATCACGTTCTTTTTCTTCCTTCTTGCGTTTCAGGGTTAGAGTACCATAGTTGGGCTTGTTTTCCACCTCATCTTCTGAGCTCTCCCGTACTAAACTGTACTCATCATGGTTTGTGATTCCTGTTGAAATTATAAATTTAGAAAATTTGGGGGCAACAAGGCTTGTTAGAATATAGGCTTGTTATTGTTAGAATATTTCTATTGATTAGGATTTAAAAGATGGAAAATTGCATTAATTTAAATGCATTTCACTGTAACATGGGTCTTTGAATCCCATTTTTTATGTATTTAATTTTAGGAATTTTTTCGAGATGGGAATTTTTATATATTTTTTTAAATCAAATCCATTGTGACACCCATATGGGTTTGCGCAATTGGAAATTCACATCATTGCTATTGGGAGGCAGATGATCATTAAGTCGCTAATTCACGGTAGATGATCACCATTTTACCGTGGTCGGGGAACTATTGTCGAATCAGTAATGAATAAAACAGTTAGTTAGTTTGATGTCAAAAGAGAAATGCCTATGGTAATATTATGTACTATTATGCTGTTTGTATGAAAAGTGGTTTTTGCATGATGAGTTGTTAGATAGAGACTTTATTTTTATAATAGTATAGATAAACAAACTGAAAACTAAAAGATTTTATAAGTTAGCCATGTCAATATTTAAATCACGAAAAAATCTTTTGACGTTTCAAAGTTTTACTGACAGTGATTGTTTAACACTTACCAATCTTTGTACAGATAACCACCATAAGATTTGCGACAGGTTGGCTGTCATCCACGAGGAGTGTTTTTAGAGTTCCGTCTAACATTCGGACCCTCAATGTACGTAGTTTTTTCCGATACTCAATTAAGTCCTGAAACACCAACCCTAGACTCAACATCATAATAGTTACACAATGTCAGTGATACTTGTCTATATGGTGGGTGAGACTACGTGATCTGCAAAGTTCTGAATTTGTTGGTAGACACAACATCGTGGAATACACTCTCCAAACGTGCATGTATTTATTTATATCTGACAAAATGTAATCAATTTGCATTAGACTGGCAAAGGTCTGTATAGTCTCTCTGTAGTGACAAATGAATGGTAATGTAAACATAAACACATACAACACCAGAAGAGCGACTGACTTGATCTTATCTTGCCAGTGCTCTATACAACCCGGTACAGTACTAGTTGTCCTACACGGGAAGAAAATATACTTTTCTTGAAACCATGTTACTTGAACAACTTGCACGGGGAAAACTCAAAGTAGGTTTACAAGATGGCTGATGAACACGAAGAAGGAATCCTTCTAATTGAACCTTTGCAAAGCAAGAAAAAAAAATGGGTAGCTTGATACCATTAAAGAATGTGTAAAAAATATTTGATTGAATCGATTTTTAATTTGATTTATGGTTCTGAGAGACATAAATCAATCTAGAGATTAACCATTAGCCACACCATGGTTTTTGATGGAATGGTACTCAATTGGTTTTTTTTTTACAATTGAAGTATACCAGTTTGATAATAACTAAAAGTCTCGTTGTATGGGTATCTAATATTAATTATTCCTAAATTGAAACTATTAAAGAGTTTCTGAACCCAAAACTATCTCTTATTGTTTTCTACTCTTCTGATTACTACAAACAATTAGGGTCACTTAACCCTTTCGATGCTAGAATTTCTTTTGTAAATTTCCGAATTTAGAGCTATTTAGGCCTACTTATTTCTTCCGAAAAGTGCTAGGCTTGCCACAGGGGCAAAGTCTAGTGTGCGAGAAAAAAATTTTCATCTCAAAAGTGCTAAGGAACGATATATTGGGCCTTGATCGTATGAGGAATCAAAAGAAACCATCCCTGTTTTGAAACAACAACCGAGTCAAGAGAAAGGAAAGAAAAAGACTATTCACCAATAGAGAATTAACACTGTTTAAGGAGAAACTACAAACACAAAAATGGGATGAGATTCTAATGGTAGAGGATGTCAACCTTGCCTACAACTCAACTCTTTCCACAGTACACTACAGCTTATACTGAATGAAACCTGCCCACTGAAACTACTCAAAAGAAAACAAAATAAAAAAAAGACAGGTCTGGAATGACGAGTGCAAACGACTGAAAAATGCGTACATCAGTGCACTAGAAATAGAACAACTTACTGGCCTGACAGAACACAAAGCACAAACAGCGGAAAGAAAGAAGGTATGGTATAATCTTATGGGGTCAGGCTACCGGAGTCAAATCAATATTCAGGCTTCAAAAACGCATTATCCGTATTATGACGAGCTCTCATCCACGTAGTTCATGCAAAATACCTTTTTCAAAATTTAAAAATCCACACCCTAACAGGACTGTACATTTTGGAATCACTAAACTGCATTCATTCAGCTAAAAACAACCTCCCAGAATCAATTCAAATCAACCATAGATATAATACTCGAAATGAAAACAATTTTAGATTTCCAAGGCACCATTTGACTCTTTATGAAAAAAGTCCACTATATGCTGGGCTGATGCTGTACAATGTGCTGCCTGCAAACTATAAATTGTTAAATGAAAATAATTTTAAAGATAAAATAGGTGAACTCTTAATTGACAAAGCCTTTAATTTAATTGCAGATTTTCACAATGCCCCTTTAGTTTAGAATAGTTTTATCATTCAATTTTGTTAATTTATATTATCATCTTGATTACTATTTTATTTTTTATATTCTGATAATTTTAACTCTGACAATGCACCTATTCTGTATGTAACACATGTAAAGAATGTTATGTGCAAATAAAATATGAAAAAAAAAGAGAAAAAGAGAGAGAATATGGCCTGAGACTGAAACACCTAAGACGAGAACAAACTGTAGCATACATTAATGAAGCAGAAAATAAATCAAAAGCAATGTGGCAGACAATAAATAATGAAAGAAAGGCAACCACTAATACAAACTATCAGCTCAGCCTTCAGCTAAATGGAAAAACGACCTTGGACCCACGCGAAATAGCAAACTCCTTAAACGTATGTTTTGCAACAATAGCAGAAAACACACTCCAAACAAACAATAGCAACACCAATCCCACATACCCTGACCTAGCCCCAGCCACAAATGAGCAGTTAGAATTCCATTTAACAACTTTTGAAGAAGTAAAAAAGACCATAGACTCCTTAAAACCTAAAACCTCTTCTGATGCCGATGAATTATCTTCAAAACTGGTTAAAAGATGTAAAGAAGAACTGACAATACCACTCACAATTATAACTAGGTGGCGTTCGCAGAGGCATCCACAAAGTTGAGCGGAGTCATCAAGGGTTCATATTATATTGTTTTTGTCTTACTGCAGTAAAAACAGTATTTTTTCATGCATGCGCTGCGGGTCTAAAGTAGCATTTTTAATATTTAGGGAGTAAAAATCGTTTTTAGCCTCTATGGAGTAAAAATCAGCTGTTGTCAACTCAGTTGTAAATTTCTATTGTAAACGATTGCATGTATCGAAAATATGTATCGATTTGTGCTTCGTAATCATTTTAACATATTACAGTCTACAGTCTCTTCCCGTAGCATTTTAGCATTGCAGATACATTAATCCATTCCCAAACTCAACACTGCTCACCTTTACTACTTCCTTCACCACACCCTACGTCGTGGACCTGTTTCCCTCTCTTCCCATAGCATTTTAGGATTGCAGATACATTAATTTAATTGCCAAAGACAGTTCCCACACTCTGCGCTGTTAGCCTTACTACTTCCTTCACCATTTACTACGTCATTGGCCTGTTTCCTTCCTTTCTCATAGCATTTAAGCATTACAAATTCATTTATCCATCTGCTCAAACGGTTCCCCCACTCTGCACTGCCAGCTTTTACTACTTCCTTCACCACTTACGTCGTGGACCTGTATTCATCGCTTTCCATAGCATTTTAGTATTTTAGATACGTTAATCTAATTGCAACAAACATCCCCACTGTCCGTACTGCTAGACTTTACTACTTCTTTCACAATTTCCTATGTCTTGGGCATGCTTCCATCCCTTCTCATAGCATTTCAGCATTGCAGATACATTAAAACTGCTACAAACGGTTTCCAGTTCCCACACTCCACACTGCTCACCTTACTACTTCTTTCACCTGTTTCTACGTCGCGGATCTGTTTCCCTCTCTTCCCATAGCATTTTAAGATTGCAGATACCTGAATCTAATCGTCATAAACAGATCCCACACTCCGAACAGCTCGCCTTTACTACTTCCTTCGCCACTTCCCACATCGCGGACCTGTTTCCCTCCCTTTCCGTAGCATTTTAGGAACGTTGTGACCTTAATCTAATCGTCATAAACAGTTTCCATACTCCAGACTGTTCACCTTTACTACTTCCTTAACCTCTTCATACGTCACGAACCTCAAGCTAGTGTCGTCATTTGATTATAGTACCTGGGGACCGAGCTTTGCTCGGGGAAAATCATTAGTTCACTCTGAAAGCACCGTAGTATTGGAGATGCATAAATCCACACATCTACATCCTACACAATTTCCTACGTCATGGATCTGTTTCCCTCCATTCCATTGCATTTAAAGATTGCAGATACCTTAATCTAATCGTCATAAACAGTTCCCACACTCCGGACTACTCGCCTTGACTACTTCCTTCATCACTTCCTACGTCGCGGACCTGTTTTCCTCCCTTCCCGTAGCATTTTAGGTTTGCTGATACCTTAATCTTATTGTCATAAACATTTCCAACACTCCGGACAACTCGCCTAGACTACTTCCTTCACCACTTCCTACGTCGCGGACCTGTTTTCCTCCCTTCCCATAGCATTAGGATTGCAAATACCTTAATCTAATCGTCATAAACAGTTCCCACACTCCGGACAGCTCACCTTGACTACTTCCTTCATCACTTCCTACGTTGCGGACCTGTTTTCCTCCCTTCCCGTAGCATTTTAGGTTTGCTGATACCATAATCTAATTGTCATAAACATTTCCAACACTCCGGACAACTCGCCTAGACTACTTCCTTCACCACTTCCTACGTCGCGGACCTATTTTCCTCCCTTTCCATAGCATTTTAGGATTGCAAATACCTTAATCTAATCATCATAAACAGTTCCCACGCTCCAGACAGCTCGCCTTGACTACTTCCTTCACCACTTCTTACGTCACGGACCTGTTTCCCTCCCTTCCCATAGCATTTTAGGATTGCCCATACCCTTATCTAATCGCCATAAACAGTTCCCTCACTCCTGACAGCTCGCCTTGACTACTTCCTTCACCACTTCCTACGTCGCGGACCTGTTTCCCTCCCTTCCCATAGCATTTTAGGATTGCCCATACCCTTATCTAATCGCCATAAACAGTTCCCTCACTCCTGACAGCTCGCCTTGACTACTTCCTTCACCACTTCCTACGTCGCGGACCTGTTTCCCTCCCTTCCTATTGCACTTAAAGATTGCAGATACCTTATTCTAATCGTCATAAACAGTTCCCGCACTCCGGACTACTCGCCTTGACTACTTCCTTCACCACTTCCTACGTCGCGGACCTGTTTTCCTCCCTTCCCATAGCATTTTAGGATTGCAGATACCCTAATCTTATCGTCATAAACAGTCCCCACACTCCGGACTGCTCGCATTTACTACTTCCTTCATCACTTCCTACGTCACGGACCTGTTTCCCTCTATTCCCATAGCATTTTATGATTGCCTATACTACTTCCTACGTCACGGACCTGTTTCCTTCCCTTCCCATAGCATTTTAGGATTGCAGATACCTTAATGTATTCGTCATAAACAGATCCTAGACTTCGCACTGCTACCCTTGACTACAATGTATCGAGTAATCTTAAGTATAATCTTTGCTCAATATTAACAAGTGATGTTTTTCCTTTTGTACTGTATTTGTAATTTCCTAGTATACTGTGGGTAGTTGGCTTATTATGAGCACATGCTAAAACTTCAAATCTTTTGTTTACTTTTTACTTGTTATTTAATTCAGCCAACATGGTTACCTAGCAACCCATAAGACTAATGTTAAAAAAATGTGATTTTCAGTTTCATTTTTCTACGGATTCCTGAGAGACTTTTTTAACGCTATATAGATGTTGGCACTCACCGATATGGTCTTTATCACCATGCAAAATTTGAAAACGATTGATTCAGCCGTCTAGGAGGAGTTTGCGTATTACGAAATGCATAAAAGTCGACGTATAAGAGCTTCGCTCGCTTCGCTCGCTCCGCTCATTAAATACATCCCTACAGCAAGGAATTTTTCCGATTGCTCTAAAGACCGCCAAAATATACCCAAAATATAAATACCCCCGCCGCAGCAAACCTGCACACTTAGCGAATTTCCATTTGCCTGATTGGATTTACACTAAAATGTCTCCGTAAAAATATCACATTTATTCCCTATTTAAATAGAACTAGTTTAACGAGTACTTAGGTTTGCTGCAACAGGGAGGGTAAAAAAGTGTCTTTTTAATGTAAAATGCTAATAGGTACTGTATTTTAGTAAGAAATTAATGTATTTTCCAAATTTGATCAAAATATGTTAAAAAACAAGAAAACTACAACAGTTGACTTATTCTCCATAAGAATAACATGGGAATTTTAAAATTACAATTTTTTTTAATTTTCTCCGTAACCATTAGGCGCATAATAATGCTTAAATATACTAAATTATTTGTTTTTTTAAGCTCTACAAAATGGTTTAGAAAGAAATTGTGAAATATTGTGTTTTTAGGGTCAAAAATTGGAAAAACCGATTTTTACCCCATAAAACCCCCCATACACCCCCGTTCCCATAGTCCGATCATGCTGGTTCGTGAACACATTCAAGTTTATCCCGCTTTACACCTTTAAACCAAATTTCATCAAAATCGGACAAAAATTACTCAAGTTATCACGTTCATGGACACATAAATATATATATATACATGTATAAAAATTTGAACGAATGGTGTTTTTGGCCTCTGGGGACATCAAAATGAAAAAGTAAATCGGTCCCGGGCCTAGGTCTTCCCATGCCACCTACGGTAATAGCGACATCCCTATAGAGAAATTCGCTAAAAAATGTATCTCACGATATCCAAATTAAAGACTGTGGCCTTAAACGTTTCATGAAAAACTAAACCTCTTTATCCATCAAGAAAAGATAAAAGAAAATAATTCAGAAACTAAAAGCTGTGGAGAATTTTTGGTCCAGTGAAATTTTATTTACAATTTAATATTAAGAGTTGGATGCAAATATGGAGTGTTTTGACTGGGCCTAAAGAAGCTGCTGAAACTCAGAACCACCTTTTTGGGCATCCCAAGGCCAGTCGAGTACTTATATCTCTCATTGGTGAGTCAGTGACTCAGTCAGTAGCGTGACGAACTGTGACACCACGACGTCAGTGATTTCGTAGGTTTGCGTCCCGAGCCAATTCAAGAATAAACTAACCTCTTAAAAAGCAACTATACAACGAAATTGTACTGTCTATCTTTGATATGTGTATATTTAAACCTGAAATAAAATATAGTTCCAATTCTAGTTTAAAGGGAAATTTTCCATAGTCATTTAGACAAAATGTGTATCATGAAGTTTAACGTAAGGAGATATTGTTGTACATGATGTTTTCAGTGGAAATGATTCACATTTGGCACCTATCCACTTTGAATGTGACCCAAACCACCACAACAGGTGACAATAATAACTTGAGCTTATTATTAAGTATAGTGTGCTCTCAATCAACAAAGGTACTTTTGAGTAAACTTTAAGTCCTAAGTGATAATTGACTAACATTTCAAACGTATCAGCATAACAGTGAGTGAACCTACAAGTAATTACATTATTTTCCGAGTGTGTAAAGAATTGTAAACACAATAATCCAAACTCTAAGAGACTAGAAAGTACTAGTTCATTGGTATTCTAATTAGTACTAAACTAACTAGGTTATTGGTATCAACAATCAGGAAAGTAATACAGTTATTGAATGTAGGTTTTATATTGCATTAAAAATTAAACTTCTACACAACTAATTCTTCTAATAGTCATTTGGAGTAATTAAACTTCTGGCGATTACTGCCAACAAAATTCTAGAGGAACATTTTTATAGCCTAAAACTGACTTTTGACACTCAATGCCAAAATACTTTAATTGTCTGCTGTTCCAAAATGATCAAATATTCAAAAGCTATTACATTGGGTAGACCTAACTAGATATACTCCTAAACACCGAAATTTGCACAACACCTGATTGACAATAATAATCAAATGAAAAATTGAGGTCTTGATGTTTTTTTTTTCACTATGAAAAGGGTAGTAGGAAAGGTGTACTGGAGGAGATTGAAATCTACAAAATCTTAAATCCAAGAATCTATAGGCTACTAAATGGAAAACTCCACAAGTCTAGTTTTAATTTTTATGTCCTCCTCCTCTAAGGCAACTCATTCAAATTAGCTAATCATCGTTATGATAAACAAAAACTATTGGACATTGCAATCCTGACCTAAACGTTCCGACAGTTTATTCCTGTTCGTAACCGAGGAAGCTCATCTTTTGCGATGGGATAGGCCTACCGTAATTTTACTGTACATTGTTTGTAATCGTATGTATTGTAAGTTTGTCTATCTGTGTCATTGATATAAGAAGGGTCTGATGATGATTGGAGTATCCACTCGAAATCGATCACCACTTACTTTACATATATACTGTCCTGTGGGTTAACAGTATAAGTGTAAGTGGGTTTAAGTGTTATTAGACAAATTTTTATTTACTTTCCGTATCGATGTAAGATGAAAACGTATCAACCATTCGGAACTGCCGACCACTTATGTATTTATATTAACTTGAGGGTATTTATACTGTATGGATAAATACATGCTTTGATTGTCTGTCTTTTTCGGAATGAGAAATTATAATAAATAGGAAGGGTAACTTACCCCATTGCGGAGGATGTAATAGTCAAGATTTCGACCTGGCTCCAGCCAAACCCCTTTCTTCACATCTTCATCTGCTAGGAACAACCCGTAATCCTTGGCTGCAAAATCAAAATATTTTTGCTGAAATCACTCAACTAAATCCCACTAACTTGATGCCTATCTAGGAATCATTGTCACATTCTTGCAGACCGTAATGAATTATCATATTACATCTGAATTAAATAAAATTATATAAAGATTAAAACCTTCAAGATTTTAGCCAATAAATCATTTTCATAATTCTAAGTTGAAAACAACATAATAACACATCAGTCTTAAACTGGTATGAGCTTGAAAACCCTACGGTTTAGTTTGTAGCCTGTGTTTAGTCAAATAAATCAAATTGCTAGCTGGTCTTAAAAATACAGTATAACATTTCATGTCATGGATTTTATTCATTGAAAAATATTTAAAATGGAAGTAAAATATTTTGAGCAATGAACAACAAGCATGTCAAATGTCAAATGCTAAAATGAGATCTTTCCACCTTGGACTTGCCAAACCAGGGGCGGCTCCAGAGGGTAGGCCAGGTAGGCCCGGGCCTACCCAAAATTTTGGTAGATATTTCAAAATTATAAATAAATAAAGAAATTTAATTATATGTAAATAAAGGGAAAGCATTCAAACTAATTATTTTGCATTTAAATTTTACAATTCCCCCTTTTTGAGGGGAGAGCCCTTCAAACCTCTCGTTCCCTGATCAAACTCTTTCTTGATCCTTGTCAAGCCTACCCAAAAAATTATTCTTGGAGCCAAACATTTTACCTCCATACAAACAAATCTGAATCAAAGAATAAATTTGGTCGAGGAGTAAAAATTATAATACAGCTAACAGTATGAATCTTTAGTATGTGTTTCACTACTGCTAATCCCAAACTAAAATATAAACTCTTTCTTAATATGTGAGGTTCTCCTAATGTGTCAGTTTGAAAATTTCTCATAACCAACTTTAGAGACAATACATTCAAGTACTTACGCTGTCCCAAGTTGGCTTCGGTTATCTTTTCACGGATGACTCGACAAGCATCGTAAACCGAGGTGTTAGGATCAAACTGCATCGTTTTGGTGACATTTTTCTCGACAATGCTGATTCGTAAAGACAGGGTAGCCATCTCGTCAGATACGTATCTTCTCCTCTGAAAAAAATATGGTTATGTAAATTAGTAAAATGTATCATATTTATTTTCTAGGACCTATTTAGCTGGTAAATGTACATTATTTCAAAACAAACATAGGCTATTTACAGGAATACAAGTTACAATATTTGCTCGTAATCATCCCATCGTTTGCAGGTTTGTTATACTGTAAAACATATTTTGAGTTTGTGTTTCTATTACGGTTCTATATATAAATTTAAGACCTTGATAGTAATTATTTTTATAATTTCATAACACTTTGACTGTACGTAGGCTCCCCGGCTTCCCAACACGTCCCGCAGCTCGTGGTATGCCCGCTTCCCAAACAACCGGCTTAAGAGCTCGTGTGTGATCAGGATCGGTCAGAGGAGGGCGATATTTTGTGCACGAGGAGAAATATTCTTCTCAGTTTGCGTTGTTCAATCCGTGTACGCTAGCGGGATCTGTCTTGTTTTACATGTGTGTAGGGGACAAAATTTGTGTTTTTATTATCCTATAGTTTAGTTAATTAAGTAATTTTGGCATATAATAGTAAAATATGTCACATTTTAGCGTGATTTGATTAGTGATTAGTGGGTAAATTAATCAACTCCATCACCAGTGCTCATGGAACACAAGCGTTCCTCATGGTGGAAACATCATCCTTATGAGTGACCGGCATCCCATAATTTAATGATATCATTTCCTGCTGAGTTTATGTTTATATATATATATATATATTTTATACTGCATTAGTAATCTGTACTGAGATATTCAATAAAAAATTTCATAAAAATAATGTTCTGGTCTGTCTACAAGATTTGTATATTTTATTAGCAGTCAAAGTACATTCTATTGCATAAGAAACTGACTGATATGATGCTAAAATAGCTTAATTAAAAGCACAAATTGAAAAATTTGTTGCAGATTATGCAAATACAATTTCCTGTTGTTGGTTGATAATTGCAGGAATTTGAGTGAAGTTAGTTCTCAAACACAGAGAAAGTTCTTCATGCCTGAGAGACATATTAGTTTTTTTTTTTTTTAATAGGCCAAGATAGATTGAAAAACCACCACTAGGCTCCAGACTACCTATTTATTTCTACATTTTTCTTAAGGGAAGAAGCTATTTTATTACAATACAGTACACTCCCTCCTATCCGCACTCCTCGGGACCGAGGCCAGTCCGGATAACGGTTTTTCCGGTTAAACCGACGTCCCTAAAAACTCATTAAAATGGACCGTTTAAATGTATACTGTATACAGTATTTGACTTAAATTTAGAATGGCATTGTATTTAGACACATGATCACTGGTCTCAAATCTTTCCCACGAGAACAGTTGTATAGGTATCCCCCACTTCCTGTCGATCTAGTCCGGTTAAACCGATGTCCAGTTAAAAGGTGTCCGGATAAGAGGGAGTCTACTGTACGTGGAACGGAAATACCTAGACCCAGAACCAATTTTTTTTTTTTATGTCCCCAATGACCAAAAACACTATTTGTTCAAATTCCGATTTTGATTAAATTTGTCATAAATGTGCTGCATGAACTTGATTGACTACGGGAAGCAGCAGGATTGGGTGATGGATTAGTAGTTTACGCAACGATTGCGTTAAGTGAGTCTTTACGACACGAGTAGAAAATTTAAGGCACTCGCCAAGGCTCGTGCCTTAAAAACTTCTACGAGTGTCGTAAAGACTAGTAACGCGAGTTGCGTACACTACTTTACCTACGATCGTTTTTTAATTACTATCAATCTGGATTTAATTACTAACAATAACTACTGATAACTTTTTAGAGAGGTTATGTTTTCGTGTATTGTCATTGCCACTGAAAGTGATGCAAAGACTTGTTGTATAATCAGCTGATTTCCTGTAATAACGTGTTTGTTAAACTTCGTTAAATATTACATTGCTAGCAGCATTCTTACCATAAATAATATTGTATCAGGTACAATTCGGCAAATATTTCATTTATTTTTGGACTTCCACCAACTTAATTAAGAATACGCGAGTATCAACATGAACAAGTCGGATCAACAATTAAATTGGTCAACTGATCAGCTGATCAGCTGATTAGTTGACGTTCGAAGCATTACAATTTTAATTCTTTTCTCTCAATACTTGAACCTCATTGGTCCGTTACCTGTGTGGATATGAGAAAACTATGCGGATATGAAATGAAACTATGCGGATATGAAAGTAAACAGCTGTAAAGTGAAACTTATCAATTCTAAGAACTGGACTGAAATGGCTACTTTAAAAAACGGTCGTAGGTAAAATTTTTTTCAGGATGTTAAGGGGTTTTGACATTTTTATAAATTGATTCTTCACATTTATACGCTTAAAACATGGAAATGGCTATTTTTTCCATCAAGCCATTGTGTAGGCCTAGATTATAAAAAAAAAAAAAACTTTTTCTGTACACTGAAGCATTATTGTAGCCTACAATATAAGGTCATGGAGAAAATTCCAAAAACTGTACATTTAAAATTCACTTGTTTCTAATGGAGAAAATACAAACTTTGATACAATTTTACATTTTTAATTTCATCCTATACCTACTATTAACATTCCCAGGTTGCAGGAAAATCAATTACTCGTTCAATCTAATGTTATTTAAATGGGGAATACAAATATCTAACTTATTTGGAAACACTTCAGTAAAAAATCAATCAGACAAATTCAAATTAACTTTTTGTAGTAGTCTGTAGGTTTGCTGCGGCGGGGGTATTTTAAGTTTACAACCATAAAAGTAAGTTTCAAAAAAATATTTTATAATTTGGGTATGGTATGTTAGGCAATTCTGTTTGAAGTCCATGTTGATCATGTTACGGCCAGGATTTACATGTTTTACATTAGGATAAAATGTAATATAGTACACTCCAAACAGCCAGGTAAATAAAGGTAAATATGTTGTCTAATATTGTAAAGGCCACCTAACTCCTAGCACACTAATATCCTGGATTAAATGTTCAAGTACATCATTACAGTACTGCAAAATGTAGAAACAGTAAAAACTTATGCTTGAATGTGATAAATGCAGAAAATCTTGAGCCTAACAGACATGGGGTAATTGAAACAAATGGGATGAATTAACTAGCCACTTTAGTTAAGAGATCCCTCATGATGACAAAAAATTACATGCACAGCCAATTTTGATTAGTCACAAATTTAAAATGCTGCATTTTATCTCATGGTAAGACCTGAACCTGAGACCCATTTACTTTCTCAATTCTCTTTTGATGTTTCCAGAGGAAAAATCACCATCTGTTGGAAATCATACAGGGTTGGGCAAATGTGTGGATACCCCTAGTTAACTTTTTAATGGGTAACACCAGGAAAACTAAACTCCACATATCTTCATAAAAAGTAAAACTGCCCTTTTTGGACGGTATCCCAATTTTTCCCAAAATTTTAAATGTAAAGCCCCATCGAGTGACACTTCATTTTAAAGGGCTTTATTAAAGAAGAATATCAGCGAAAACCAGAGGTCTCTATCTCAACCCAGTACGACATGGCGGTCATTTTAAATTTTCATCAGCCTGAGAGAAACTTTTAATGCGGTTAAATTGTACGATGAATTTTCAAATGACCGCCATGTCGTACTGGGTTGAGATAGAGACCTCTAGTTTTCGCTGATATTCTTCTTTAATAAAGGCCCTTAAAATGAGGTGTCACTCGATGGGGCTTTACATTTAAAATTTTGGAGCTACCCCCAAAATACCCCATTTTGGGGTCCCGGGAAAAATTGGGATACCGTCCAAAAAGTGCAGTTTTATTTTTTATGAAGGTTTGTGGAGTTTAGTTTTCCTGGTGTCACCCATTAAAAAGTTAACTAGGGGTATCCACACATTTGCCCAACCCTGTATAATAGGCTACAAGCATGTGTGTTTGAGTGTATGTACGTTGGCGCGATGAATCGAGCAAAAATCCACCCGATTTTGAGGAAATTCGGTAAAAACTTGTAAATCTGGATTTATTCATAATGGGAACTGGGTTTTATAGGGGGTCTCATGGGGTAAAAATTGGGTTTTCTCATTTTTAATCCTAAAAACATAATGTTGAGCAATTTCTTTCCAAACCAAGTTGTAGAGCTTAAAAACTCAAATAATTTAGTACACTGAAGCGTTGTTGTATGCTTTATGGTTACAAAAGATATTCAAAAACTGTAAATTTAAAATTCCCATGTTATTTCATGAAAAATAAGTAAACTGTTGTAGTTTGATTGTTTATGGATGTATCCTGAAAAAAATTAGCAAATCTACGTATTTCGTTTTAAGCTATTAAAATTTCACTAAAATGCCCCTTATTACCTTTCCTGCAGAGGCAAACTAAGTACCCGTTTAAGTTGATGTTTTTTCGGTTTTTTTTATAGGGAGCGAATGTGACATATTTAAGGAAATATTAAATAAAAACTCAATCAGGCAAATGCAAATTTCGTTGGTCCTTAGGTTTGCTATTAAACAAAGTTTTCACTCAATCCTGTGAAAATAGTTGTTTGTTCACTTGGCCTAGATATTAGCACCCCAAATTGTGGCCATTGTCACTTAACATATTCAAATTCATTTTACATGTTGTCAATTTAGTACAAAGTCCTGCCTTGGCTAGCATTACAACAAATGCAAGAATTGAGCTGTTAATGGCAGCAAAGAGTTTTTGCGTAGGGTTGTAAACACCCTCTATTGTCCCGTACAGGAAGAAGATAGGTCATTACAACAGAAAGAGGGAGACGGCTCTCTCGACTCTGCAGCTGTTTGATATGAAATGTTGACATCGCAACTGATATCATTCAGACATTAAATGGTGATAATGGACGAATCCAAATAAATGTAGTAAACATATGTGTAAATTGTAGAGTAAACTAAATTAAAAAGCTTGTTAGACCACTAATCGCGTATAACCTCATTAAGACTATCATGTAAAACAATTAATATTTTTACTGTTAAGTTCTTTCAAAATAAAATACTGAAATGGTTAATTTCCCATTGTTGCGTAACCTCTGAATCATTGTGAATTC